AGCAAACCTGTCTCCGGAAGCTTCCCCCGTCGGGTCTCAGTTTTCCCTGATTATTTCTTCCTCCCCAGACCAGCTGGCCCAGATGATCCCTCACAGCTGCACCCCCACGCAGGCACTCACTCACACTTAATAATGGTGCAGTCTTTGGCGGCAGAAAAGATGGCCAGGTCGTCAGGGGTGATAACCAAACATGTGATGGACAGCTGGTGGCCCCGTAAGATTCGAATTTCAGCAGGGTCTGGGGCCTGGATCTAGGCAGGCAGGGACCGGGTCACTGCAACTAGGGGCAGGAAGGCCCCCCTCCACACACACACATGCCATCCTTTCCCACCACACTGCCCAGAAGGAAAACCGGACCCAGGGCTGCCAAGACCAGACCATTACCTGACCCTGTCTGCCCAAGTGCCCACTATGTTCCAGAGCAAACACCCCACAGCCTGAGTCCCCAGTTGGGCCATCTGCCCACCAACCCAGGTGATTCCCTCCAATCTGACACCAAAGTGCCCTGTCTGCTCACCTCCTTTGCCACCGACTTCTGCAGCCTGCCTCTCTGCTCGAGCTGCATGGAGAGGAGAGAGGTGAGATCCCAGGAGCAGGACCAGCCCCATCCCTTCCCTCCCACCACCCTCCCTCCACACTCACCACGTCCTCCTTCAGCCTCCCTGCCACCTGGTCCTCCTCAAATTCGCGGGCCTCGGCCTTCTCCTCCTCTGTGTAGGACAGACCAAGCCAAGTAAACCCAGGCCAACAACACCCCACTTTTCCCTTCCCATCCCCACCCACCACCTCAGTCCTGGGCCCTGAACATTTGGGCTGTGTCCCATGGAAGTTCAGGCCACCTCAGCCAAAGGGGAGGGAGGGCTGGATGGTCTCCTGCCCACCCCCTGCCTTTACTTATCAGATCAGTCTGAAGCCCCCTGAAGGCCTGGCCCACCCCAGAAGATCCATTAGAGCTCCTAGCCACCCTCCCACAGGGCCGCCAGCAGCAGCAGCCCCAGCGGCCCACCGGCTACCTGCATCAGTCACCCACCAGGTGGCTGGGGCCACAGCAGGCAGACTCAGGCATAGGCCCCGCCCCTCACCTGCCCAGTCCACAGGCTCACCTTGCTGCTTGAGCTGCTCAAGGTAGAGCTTGGCCAAGCGCAGCTTCTTCTCCTGTGCGGTCTCCTCCAGCTCCTCCGCCTCCTCCTCCTCATTCCTCCTGGGAACTAGGCTGTGAGCAGGAGGAACTAGGCTGTGAGCAGGAGGGCTCGGCCCGCTCCTCTGGCCACTAGGACCGTGCTCCTCGCTGCTTCCCCAGCCACTTGACACCCCCATCCCTGCCAGCCCTCATGGCCAATGGTCTCACACACAGAAAACTGAAAGATGTGACTTACCAAACTGAAAGGGCCCACCCAGGGCCCAACGTAAGGGTGAAAACAGACCCCAAACCCAAAGAGATCACTGGGAAATCTCTCAACTCTGGAGGGAAAGAGAAGGTTCTACAGGCTTCCAAGAAAAATCAGACCGTATACAAAGGATCAGGAATCAAAATGACTCCAGAAGCCTCAACAGCAACACTGAGAGCAGAAAACAAAGGAGCTGCACGTACAAAATTCGGAATAAAATGCTAACCACTGGAATGGCATGCCAGTTAAACCATTAATGATAAATGAAAACATATCAGATGTACAAGGTGCCACAAAAGTGGTCCTTTCTCCTTCTTTTAAGGATGGAGGATGTGCTCCCTGAACAAGAGAGTAAGCTAAGATTGGGGAAGGCACGGGAGACAGGAAACAGAAGATCCAACATGTAAAGCAGAAACGGTAGATCTCAGAACAACAACGACCCCCCAGACACAGGGGAGCAGCCAGCCCAGATCTGATGCAAGGAACCAAGAGGCAGACGTGTTGGGACTATCAACGCCCTATCCTCACTGCCAAGGCACCATCCTCTACCCTGAGGATGGGATTCCAGGTGAAGCTTAACTGGGCCTGGCTTGACCTTGTGCTAGTGAAGTCCCTGCTTTCCCCTCCATGCCCCTCACTCAAGATAAGTCCTACTTTGACTTGCTCCTGGGAGCTGGAGGTAAGTCACGGGAACTCAGAAGCAGAAAACCCAGGGCAGCCCGTTCCCTCTGATCAAGTGCCTGTAGATACCTAGTCGCTGTCAGGTAGCCCAATTGTTTCCTAGACTCATCCATGACCTTGCCCACAACTTCCCCAGAAACGACCTTGGAAATTCTCAAGGAAGCCAAGGCCTGACCATGCTCCTGAGACCGGTTAGTACCCAGTGCGCAGCAAGTCTTCAGCCAACGGGGTTGGTGCTGCCCTTCCCTCATACACCAGGGTCTTAACTTCTACTCAGTTTACCCAAGGAATCAATCTATTGTTTCGGGTTCACACATAGAAGACAGAACTCTAAAGAAAATCAAAGCAAGTATACAACCATTGTAATTCCACTCAAATAACATTCTGGAAAAGGCAAAATTCTAGGGACAGCAGTTACTGGTTGGAGTGGGGTGGGAATTGACTGCAAAGGAGCCATGGGGGATTTTGGTGGGTGGTAAAACCCTTCTATATCTTTACAGTGGTGGTAGTTACACGACTATATGCGACTGTCACAACTCACAGAACAGTACACTAAGAAAGGTAAATATTACTGTATGTAAGTTATACCTGAATCAGAAAAGGGAAAAGGAAAAAAAGAAAAAGGAAGGAAGGAAACCAAAGAAATGATTAACTTAAGTCAGGAATGGCAGTTGGGGCTTCTAAGTTTCTACGAATGGTCTAGTTCTGGTGGGTGCACAGAGGTTCATCATTTCATCATTACTCTTTATGGTACAATTACATTTCGTTAACTCTTCTGTAGCTGATACATTTCACAATACATTTTAAAAATATTTAAAAGTGCTTAGCACAGGGCCTGGCACACACCCACAGTAACCTTAAGACTACAAAAAGTATATATTAAATCTGTGAGCAGGTTAAGGCCAACATGTACTCAACTTTTAGAATTAGAATTTCTAAAGCCAACTCTTAAGGAAGGCACCGGGATTCTCTGATATTACAGCTTCCATGCCACAGGGTCAGGCCTGATACCTTGCCAGCCCCCTCTGAACTCTGCAACATACTCCACCCCCATCACCTGCAGAATGGAGGAGGTACGCAAAGCCCTCCACAGTCCAGATGCACCCACTGCCTACCCTCCCATCCTCTTCATCTCCCATCTAGCCCACTTAGCCCCCAGACTTTTCTCTGGTCCCTGAATGCCTTCCCTATCTCTCCATGAGGAACCCCTCCTCATCTCTCCAGGCCCCATTTAAACTCCCCTTCTCTGTTCCGACAACACGCAGCTCTAAGATACACATCCCACCACAACACATTCCGTCTTCACCTGCCTGCTCATCTCTGTTCTCTCAACAGTGAAACTAGTGCCTGGCACTCTCAATAACTGTGAAATTGTGGGAGAACAGAATGAAGAACTAGCAAGCATTTCTTGCATCCCTCTCCCCTTGCCTGGAGTTCAGCTCCCTGTCATGAAGGAAGGTCTCACTGGTCTCCCATTAGGACTGGGGGTCCTCCCCACACAGAGACCGCCCCTGCAGTGAAGGAAATGACAGTTCTCAGGGTCAAAAAGTGGAGGAAAGAATCAAGATCTGAGAATCAAGGGTCAGAGTCCTGGGTTCTAGGCCCAGCTCTAGCCCCCGTCATTGAGTACTCCTTCCATACACAAATGGGCCCCAGTGTTCTTTTCTACTAGGTGGAAAAAAAGAGCTCACCTCTCAGTCTCCGAGTCGCTGGAGATCTCCTCATTCATCTTGCCGCCACCCTTGGACTTGCCCTTGTCCCCAGAAGAGTCGCCCTAGGAATTATATAATACTTTCTTTGGTCAGGGGTCCCGACCACCCCGGCTCGACCAAGGGCCCCTTAGGGTCCCTCGAGAGTCACTGGGAAAGGCGGTAGCCCCCGGCTCAAGTGAAAGGATTTTTCAGTATTTGGCGCGCGAAGAACGGGACGAAGCTGACTCCAGCTGGGGTCCCGGGGTCGAGGGGACCGGTGCCGGGGCCCCCGGATGGGGATAATGGCCCAGTAACATAGGATGGACCCCGGCCCGCCAAAGCGCCGTGCTCACCTTTCGCCGCAACTTGCCGGCCCCCGCACCAGCCCCGGCCCCCGAGGCCGGCTTTCCCCTCTTCCGAACCGCCCCAGTCGCCGACATGCTGCCCACCGTGTGTGTTGCGGCGGCTCCTGGCGAACTCACGTGGCGGCTGAACCCGGGCCGTCCCACAAGACTCCAAGCCAAGATAGGCTCCCACCGCCCGGTGGGCCCCGCCTCCCACAGCTCCATTGGGCCCTTGGGTAGGTTCTGTCTCGCCCCCAAGAGCCCATAGGATAAATGTCTGTGGCCACGCCTCCTAGAACTCCTATAGGCTCCCGCGCCCGGCTCCAGTAGGAAGCAAGCCTCTCCCTGGCGCTTCCGGCCAACGGCTGCGGCGCGTGCGCCCTGCCGCTGACTGACGTATGAAGAGGGGTCGGACCCCGACACCGTCTCTGTGTTTGCTCTCCTTGGACGCTGGGGGGCGCCAGAGACGCGGGATTCCTTTTCCTGGAACGTGACTCGTCCCCGTCAGGGGCGGGGGCCAGGGTGAGAGAGTCTGACTCTAAATAACCGGGGCGGGGGAGAGGGATCCGGCAGCCCCCGGGAGAAGGCAATGCCCGCACCTGGGGCCAAGGTCACTGGACAACCGGTGGATACGTATTGCATGCCTCAGGCCAGATGAGCAGCTCTAAGGGCGCGTCAGTCCCCTGGGCCTTGGCTGTGTCCGGATCAAGTGTCCACCCATCCATGGGACAGGCTGCCTGCCCGCCTCGGCCTGCCCAGCCTCTGACTCACCAGACTGGTGGCCAAATAGCTGGAATCCTACCCACACCCACTTCTTCCCTGCTCCCCTAAGGCTTACGAGAGGTTGTTAGAACTAGGACTGCCTGGGAGTTACTGACCTGGTGGCCACAACCTCTCCCAGGTCCCTGCTTCTCTTAGGTGAGTGCTCTATGGCCTCTCCCACAGCCCTCCACAGGGCAGGGCAGGGCGGGTGTGACTGACCCTTGCCCTCTGGCAGTTCAATGCCACTGGTCTGGGACGGAGGCTGGCACCCCAAAACTCTTGAACCTGCTGGGAAGGGTTTCTGCGCTATTGGGTCCTAATCTTTGGAGAGACAGATCTGGCCTTAGGAGTGCTAGCCCCCCGGGAGCCACTGCCCACTCTCCTCCATAGCTGGGGTGACTCAGCCCAGCAACCATGCCAGATCCAAGTTAGCTGAGATGGGGGAGGAGCAGAGAGTGCTCTGGGGAGAGGAGCCCAGAAATGGGAGGGGGCAGATTCTCCTTTCACTTTCCCTTCAACCTCAGAACACACAAAAGAGCCATAGAGGGTGGAGAGCCCCTCTTCCTTGGCCAGACTGGGCAGACTGGACAGGGGCCTGGCCTGGCCCTGGTGACTGGAGAAAGGGGTGTATCTGGGGTACAGAGAGCCGGTTTTGGTCAGGGACCGGGAGTGGGGAAATGGAGGCAGAGGGAGGTCACCAAAGGGCAATCTCAGGGTGGGGCAAGTTAGTGCTGTGCCAGCCAGGTGGGACGCAAATGTCACGGATGCCTGAGGACCCCCTCTGTGCCCTAGAACAGCCATGGCTCCAAAGCGCAAGCCCCAGGTACAGCGTGAGGGTCCTGAGAAGAAGAAGGGGCGTCAGGGGGCACAAGAGGAGGACAGTTTCCGCTCCACTGCCGAGGCCCTCCACCCACAGAGAAGCGCATAGCCTAAGTGGACCCCCTGTGCCCACTCAGCTGCAACCCTAGGACTCAGGTAAGCTGTAGTCCCCAGCCAGTCCCAGTGCCTGCTCCCTCTTGGGTACAAGTACACTCAGACCTCCTCCCCTCCCCCTTGGCTCTGGCTAAATAGCTCAAGGCTCCCAAGTAAACTGTGTTCTTCCAAGACCCCAAAGGTCAGGCAGGGCTATATCCCATCAGATCCAGGTGGGTCATGTCTGCTCTTCAGACCCCAGGACAGGCCCCTGAGCTGCTCAGTCTTCCCCCAACGACACTTAAGGCAGGGTTCCCAGACAGGGCCTCCTCTGACACCCCAGTGCAGTGTGATTCCTGTCAGCGTGCAGCCAGGTACCCCATCCCACTCAGGGGCGGCCGGAGCCAGCCTGCCCTCCACGCACCCACTCTGGCCACAGGTGCATGAAGACTACGACTGTACCCTGAACCAGACCAACACTGGGAGCAACAAAAACAAGTTCTACATCATCCAGCTGCTGGAAGAAGGTGACTGCTTTATCTGCTGGAACCGCTGGGGGCGCGTGGTGAGTACCACTCACCCACCCTGTGCCCGCATCCTCCCCACCTCTCCCTGCTCAACGCATGGCCCCTGCTTCCCGGGGTCCCCACAGCTTACTCAGGCCAAAAGTCCACAGCCTCTGACTGTGCCCTGCCCCACCTCTGACATCCAGGGGCGCTCGGCACAGGGCCTGCACAGTAGAGGCCAGCAAACATTTACGGCGGGCACTGTGGTAGGCACACCTCTGAAAGCTGTTGCTTGCCGGGAGAGGTGGGCCAGTCACAACTTAGCCGCTTCATGTCACTGGAGGATGCACAGAAGGACTTTGAAAAGAAGTTTCGGGACAAGACCAAGAACAGCTGGGCAGAGCGGGACCACTTTGTGGCCCACCCCAGCAAGTATACACTTATCGAAGTACAGAGAGAGGATGAGGCCCAGGAAGCCATGGTGAAGGTGAAGTGGCCAGAGAGGGAGGGTGGGCCTGGGCCGAGGGAAGGGACAGCCACTGCCCAGCTGTATACTCTCAGGCACAGGCCTTCCTCTCTGGCCTCGGTCTGGCCAGGCCCTGCTCTAGGTGCAGGTGCCCTGCCCAGCTGCTCCTGCCCAGGTGGGCCCTCTACCCCTAGGTAGACGGAGGCCCAGTGAGGACCGTAGTTCGTGGTTCAGCAAGTGCAGCCCTGCTCCCTGGACGCAGCCACACAGAAGCTCATCACCAACATCTTCAGCAAGGACATGTTCAAGAATGCCATGGCTGGGCTTCCCTGGTGGCGCAGTGGTTGAGAGTCCGCCTGCCTATGCAGGGGACACAGGTTCGTGCCCTGGTCCAGGAAGATCCCACATGCCACGGAGCGGCTGGGCCCGTGAGCCATGGCCGCTGAGCCTGCGCGTCCGGAGCCTGTGCCCCGCAACGGGAGAGGCCACAACAGTGAGAGACCCGCATACCGCAAAAAAAAAAAAAAAAAAAGAATGCCATGGCTATCATGAACCTGGGTGAGGGGGGAGGAGCCAGGAAGGGTAGCAGGGGTCTGGGGGTGGCAGGGCTGTGGGCCTGACTCCCCACTCTCCCCATCCCCCCAGATGTGAAGAAGATGCCACTGGGGAAGTTGAGCAAGCAGCAGATTTCCCGGGGTTTGGAGGCCTTGGAGGCAGTGGAGGCGACCCTGAAAGCCCCCGCAGGTCGTGGTCTCAGCCTGGAGGAGCTGTCCTCCCACTTCTACACCATCATTCCCCACAACTTCGGCCGTAGCCAGCCCCCACCCATCAACTCCCCGGAACTTCTGCAGCCCAAGAAGGATATGCTGCTGGTGAGGGTTGGCAGGTTACAGGCAGTGGGGTTACCAAACAGATAGATGGGGCAAGGGAGATGGGGGACAGATAGATCAACTGCGATGGGCAGGCCGAAGGACAGGGGAGGGGAAGGACAGACAGATAGATGGGGTGGGGCTGAATAAGGTGGGGTGGCCATGGTCCTATTTATGTGGGAGGGGGAGGGGAGGCCCAGGGTCAAGGGGACACACAAGCTGCCAGTGCCCATCCCCTTAGGTGCTGGCAGACATCGAGCTGGCCCAGACCCTGCAGGCAGCCCCCAAGGAGACAAAGAAAGTGGAGGAGGTGCCACACCCACTGGACCGAGATTACCAGCTCCTCAAGTGCCAGCTCCAGCTGCTGGACCCAAAGGTGCCTGAGTACAAGGTGGGCCGGTCGCCACAGAGGAGCCGAGCTAGCAGTGGGCACTGGCCCCTTGCCTGTCTGCCCTCCAGGTGCCCAGAAGAATCCCTTTCCTCGGGCCTTCTCTCGCTGTGTCTCCAGGGCCTGAGGAGAGCTCTGGAACTGCAGGGGACAAGTGGAGGTTAGTCCATACATTTCTTGCTCTTGGCACCCAGTTTCTTCTCTCCCTGCAGGTGATACATCCCTGCTTGGAAAAGACTGGCAGCAAGTACAGTTGCCCTGCTCTTCAACATAGTTGGACAGTGAACCGAGAAGGGGAGGTGAGGAAGATTTCCTCCCCACCATCACTACCTTGTCCCTTAGGGAGATGATCTTGGCTTATCTTCCCTTTAGCGAGTTGGCTGAGAAACTCTGACCAGTTTCCACCAGGCCTAGGTCTTGTGCATGTGTGCATGAGTATGTGAGTGACTAGGGAACCCTTGGCCTTGGTCATACCCTCTGATGGCAGATAGAAACACCTGAGCTTGGGTGGCATGACTCTCCTGGTTCCCATCTCCCCCCCTAGGGAGATCAGTTCCAGGCCCACGACAAGCTGGGTAATCGGAAGCTACTGTGGCATGGCACCAACGTGGCTGTGGTGGCCGCCATCCTCACCAGTGGGCTTCGCATCATGCCACATTCTGGTGGCCGTGTTGGCAAAGGCATCTACTTTGCCTCGGAGAACAGCAAGTCAGATGGCTATGGTGAGGTGTCCCTCAGAGCCAAGCCCTGAGTGGGTATGGGGACACTAAGGAGCATGGGGCCCATTACTTGTCCCACCTGCAGTGGATCCAGGAGAGGACCCCTCGGATAGTTACTGACTAGAGAGCTCTGTGGGGCATCCTGGGGGTTGGGGGACTCAAAGGAGGCATCTGCTGGTCAGCGACAGCTTCCTGGAGAAGGCGATGCAGATGGGATGAGTGTGCCAACCTGACCTGGGAGGGGGTGAAAGAGGAGCCTTCAAGGTAAAGCAGCCAGGGAGTGGCACGAAGCCTGGGAGGCTGCGGCAGGTCAGCACCTCCAGGCACGGCCTGATGACAAAGCTTAGAGCAAATGCCTAGTGTGGGTGTGGGGCTTGGGGGCCCAGGAGGATCAAGCGAGCCTTATTCAGAAAGTGATGGGGAGTACAGTTGAACGTGGCTGCAGCCGTTGGGAGGGTGGCAAAGGCCAGAGGCTGCAGGAAGGCTGTGTTCCCATCCAGGCCAAATGTGATGGGCCCCCAGCCCAGGGCAATGGAGGCGGAGGAGAGAATCCATGAGAGGAGTATGTGGGAGGTGGGATGGGCAGCATTGTGGGAAAGGGTCGAGGGTGTCTCTAATGACCCCCAAGTTTCTGTCCAGGGGTGTCCTCACTGAGGTGACCTGCCCCTACTGGCTTCTCAGCCCAGGTTGACCTCATTATTGGAGACCACTGCCCTCCGCCACTCAAGAGACCAAGGTCGGAGGATTCACCCAAGTGCAGATGGAGCTGAAGGTTGCTCAAGGCCAAGGCGTCCACTAGGAGGGCAGAGGAGCCTAAGAAGAAGTGGAGGTTGGCCTCAGGAGAGCATTGCAAGGGGGTCTCAGGGTAGAGGGTGAAGGATGCCGTGGCAAAATCAGCAGAGCAGGCCTGAAAAGCCCCCACCCCAGATATGGTCACTGGAAGGCCATTACTGACCTTGGTGAGGGTGGCAGACGCCTGGACTCTGGGAGTTGAGCAATGGAGGAGAGAGTGGGGAGGGAGCACAGCCAGGACAAGGGGCCTGGAGAAATGGTTGGAGGAAGGACGGAAGAAAGATGGGTACTTTTCTGGGCCGGGGCAGCAAAGCCAAAGGAGATAACAGTGCAGCAGAGAGGAGCCCAGGGAGTCAGGCAGAGAGCCGGTCTGCCTACCCTGAGCCTCCCTGTGTCCCCCAGTTACTGGCATGTCCTGCGGGGCCCATGACATTGGCTACATGTTCCTGGGTGAGGTGGCAGTGCGCAGAGAGTACCGCATCACCGTCTATGAGCCCAGCTTGAAGCAGCAGCCCCCTGGCTTCGACAGTGTCATTACCCGTGGCCACACAGAGCCTGGTGAATCCCATGAAGCTGGACAGGCCTAAGGATAGAGGTGAGGCTGAGATAGAGCAGGATGCTTTCAGGGAGGAGGTGAGCAAGGAAGGGGCTTGTGAGGAAGGACGAAAAGAAGCAGGATTCTTCAATGCAGTCATTCACTTTATCATTCAACAAACATTCACTGATTCAACAAATCTTTCCTGGGCATCCAGGAGAGCTTCAAAGAAGAGGTGTCATTGACTGAGCATTGAAAGATGAGCAGGCATTTCCCAGGCAGAGAAATGGGGGAGGAGATTCCAGGCAGAAGGCCCAGCCTATGCAGCGGTTTGGAGTTTGGCAAGGTGGGAATGAGTGGGCACTCCCTGTGGTAGAAGTAGAGAGCACAGGGGGTAGGACTTACCGGTAAAGCCAAGGACCAGTGACCCTTGGGTCATTCATGGCCCTTGCTGTGCCCTGCAGTTCCAACCCAGGACACCAAGCTAGAGCTGGATGGCCAGCAAGTGGTGGTGCCCCAGGGCCAGCCCATGCCCTGCCCAGAGTTCAGCAGCTCCAGCTTCTTCCAGAGTGAGTATCTCATCTACCAGGAGAGTCAGTGCCGCCTATGCTACCTGCTGGAGGTTCGCCTCTGAGCTGTCTGCCCGACCCGCCTCCCGTCCACCGCCAGGAGCTAGACCATCATCCTCAATCTTCCTCCCATCCCTGGTGCCCCCATATCACCCCTTCTTGCTCTCAAATCTCCCTCCTGTGTCCAGACAGTGATCCCCTCTCCCTCTAATCCTTGTGGTCCTGGCATGGCTGTGGCCTCAGTCTCGTCCCCTAAGGTGATGGGTGTGATGGATTGGCATTATTACTGGGACACGGATACAGCAGCCTATTCAAGCCTGTGTAGTTAGAGGGGCACAGGCTGAGAGTGGGCGGGTCCCACAACCCCCCGGGCCATCCACCCTGGCCCAGACTGTCCATCCGAGAGAGGCGTGATCACCGAGGTGGGCTGAACTTCAGACATGCACAGGCAAGTGCACATTGTATTGGCTCACCCCCCTGACCTCTGTCTGTGCCAAAGCTGCACAAGGCCTGGGCCTTCTTGCTTTCCACAGTGACCCACCACACCACATAGCAGTTCCAGCCCCACTCCAGGGAGTGACCACTCACACGGAGGACGTGGGTTGTACACACACTCCCACCCACCCTGGTCAGTCTACATTGGTCACTGCAACGACTGGCCTCCTCTGATCATTGAGCCTCCAAAAGGGACCAAGATCTGGGCAGTAGGTATGCTCTTTGGTACTGGGTGTCATTGAGCCTCCAAAAGGGACCGTCCCCATCAACTCAGAACTGTTGGTCACGTGGAGACCCACCTGGTGATTCTGTCCTTTAGCCCAGACGTGGCCAGGCAAATCAAGCATTCCTTGTGTCTTGGCACCAAACACCCATGTGTGTCTTCTATGTGAATATCATAAATGAATTGAGAATATCTGCAAGGGGTGCAGCTCTGCTGTCATGAAAGAATGCTAGTTATCACCCCAGGCTACCCTGTCCACAAACAAGGGGTGCAGATGCTAGACAGCAGGTCAGGGTCCAGTGCAGTGTCACACACCACATTTAGTTGTCGTGTCTCTTTGGTCTCCTTTCATCTGAAACCATTCTTCAGCCTTTTTTTTTTTCCTTCATAACTTAGACACTCTTGACACTACTGAAGAGTACAGGCCAGTTGTTTTATAGACTGTCTCTCAGTCCGGGTTTGTCTGATGTTTTGCAGTGATTAGATTCAGGCATTGCAGTTTGGGCAGGAACATTACATGAATGCTGTGTCCTCGGTGCACTGTATCAGGAGGGACATGTCCCATTCTTGGTGATGTAAATTTGGTTGCTCAAGGTCGTGTCCACCAGGTTTCTCCACTGGGAAGTTACCATTTCCCCCATTTTTAATTAATCAGTAATCTGTGGGGAAATATTTTGAGGTGTAAATGTTCCATTCCTCATCAACTTTCACCCACTAGCTTTAAAATCCAATGATGATTTTTACCTGAAATCGATGACTTGAATCAATTTTTGCTAAGATGGTTGCAAATGATAGTTAAATAATTTAATTCCATCATTTCTTCTATATTTATTAATAATAGCCCCCTTTGTTTATTATCAGTATGGATTTGTGGGTTCCTATTTTATGCAATGGGTTATAATCCATTACTGTTATTATTTTGATCCTCAAATTGTCCCAGCTTTGGCCAGCAGAAGGTCCTTTAAGCTGACTCCTGTGTCTACATCATTTTATGAGCACTGCCTTATGTTCTGGTATCACACGATGTTCCAGGCTCATTTTGCACAAACCTAGAATCAGCCATTTCTCCAAGGAGCCCTGGTTCCCTAGAGCAGGAAACGGTATTTAGAATCCAAGATCTGGGCAGTAGGTATGCTCTTTGGTACTGGGTGTCATTGCTTTTCAGTCCCAGTAGCAAAGAGGGCTAGGAAATATGTATATGTAAATAAACACATCTATCTGTGTCTGTTTCTCCAATTCCAATCCAACACCATATGGTCTTTCCATTCTTCCCCATATCCATGATTTTACTCCCTTCTCCAACTGTCAGAACTTTGGTTCTCATCAACATCAGTATATTTACTTATTTGCTCAATCCCACACAAAAAGCAGTTTCAGAATTGCTACACCCAATACCATTGTGAAAAACAAACTTTCTAATTAGAGCTCAAGATTTACTGAATCATTCAAGATGATCTTTTTGTCTTTAGACTGAGGGTCAATGGTCAAAGCAACAATTTGAACACAGGTTCAAATGTTACTTGGATTAGTTAGTTATTTCCCTTCAGTGTGGTTATACTATTCATTTGAAATGCTGGTAGGTTCATTTGCTTCTATTTATATTCACTTTTAGGGTTTTTCTCATCTTTGTTGATGAATTTTTTTCAACATGTAGAGCATTAACATGGTCCTCAAAAGTCCAGTCTATCCAAATCTATGCTCAGAAGAGTGTCCTCCTAGCCCTCTCACTCCATGCCCACCCACCTGCTATAGTTTCTGGTTTATCCTTCCTGCATTTCTTTGGAAAAAAAAACAAAAAACAAAAACAGACGAACTACAAAGTGTTTTGTGTGTGTGGTTTTTTTTTTTTTGGCCGCACGGCATGCAGGATCTTCCCCAGCCAGGGCTCAAACCCGCACCCCCTGCAGTGGAAGCATGTAGTCTTAACCACTGGACCGCCAGGGAGGTCGCAAAGTGTTTTTTTTGTTTTTAATAAATTTATTTATTTTATTTATTTATTTTTGGCTACATTGGGTCTTCATTGCTGCACGCGGGCTTTCTTTAGTTGCGGTGAGCGGGGGCTACTTTTCGTTGTGGTGAGTGGGCTTCTCATTGCGGTGGCTTCTCTTGTTGTGGAGCACGGGCTCTAGGCGCGCGGGCTTCGGTAGTTGTGGCACACAGGCTCAGTAGTTGTGGTGTGCGGACTCAGTAGTTGTGGCACATGGGCTTAGTTGCTTCACGGCATGTGGGATCTTCCTGGACCAGGGCTTGAACCCATATCCCCTGCAATGGCAGGCGGATTCTCAACCACTGCACCACCAGAGAAGCCCTTGTTTTGTTTTTATTTATTTAATTAATTTATTTTTGGCTGCATTGGGTCTTTGTTGCTGCATGCGGGCTTTCTCTAGTTGCAGCGAGTGGGGGCTACTCTTCGTTGCAGCATGCGTGCCCCTCACTGTGGTGGCTTCTCGTTGCGAAGCATGGGCTCTAGGCGCGCGGGCTTCAGTAGTTGTGGCGTGCGGGGTCAGTAGTTAGTTGTTGCGGCTCATGGGCTCTAGAGGGCAGGCTCAGTATTTGTGGGCGCATGGGCTTAGTTGCTTCACGGCATGTGGGATCTTCCCAGACCAGGGCTCAAACCCGTGTCCCCTGCATTGGCAGGCAGATTCCTAACCACTGCACCACCAGGGAAGTCCCTCCCAAAGTGTTTTAATTGCTAATTTAGTTGAATGATTTTGCAGGGAACATGCACTCTCCAACCCACCATAGTCCCCATCCCTCCCTATTGCCTTCTCCAGTCCCCTGTTCTCATTTGCTTTCCCACCTGGCCCTGCTGAGCCCTCCCCAGACCTTGGTGGCTTGGAGGCTGCCCCAGGCCTGCAGGCCTAACTGGGCAGTGAGAAAGCCAATGTTCTCTCCTTCTTCTGAACCAAGACCTCAAGAATCCAGCTTCACCTCCTGGAGGCAAATGCCCACATTCAAGTTGTGGTCAAGTACAGGAAGTGGTGCCTGTGTGGACAGAGCTTAGGAAGCAGGCGACCTGGTTTCCAGGTATAACTTGGCTGTGTAATCCAGAACACATTCCTTCCCTCTCTGAGCACCAGTTTTCTCATCTGAATAATAGAGAATCGGACCGGGGCCCTTCGAATTCCAGCAACAGGTGACTCAAATCCAGAGGTTCATGCCCTGTTGTCTGCCACCCAGATCTGTGCTGATGCGGACTGCGTGCCTATGAGGGGTTCTAGGGGCACAGGAACAAGCAAGACACAGATAAGGTCCCTGCTCTCAAGGGGCTTGCATTCTAATAAAACAGGATCTAAACAAGTATGTGCATAGATATGAAATACAATACCAGGTAGGAAAAGTACCAGGAAGAAAAATAAAGCAGGGTTAAAGGAGTAGTGATGGGAAAGTGGAACAGTTTTAGAAAAGATGGTCATTGAAGGCAGAGACCTGAATTAGGTGAGGAAGCAAGCCATGGAGAGATCTGGGGCAAGGGTGTTCTGACAGAGGAAACAGCACATGCAGAGATCCTGAGGTGGAAACCAGTTTGACATGTGGGAGGACAAGCATGAAGACTGTACGGCTGGAAGTATGGGAGGCAAGGAGGAGGCAGGTGAGGTCAGAGAGGTGGGGAGAAGGCCATCTCAGCAAAGAGGAGGTGAGATTCTATTTTGATGATGGGAAGTTCTTGGAAGGATGAGTGCAGGATCATGACCTGATCTCATTTGTCTTTAGAGGGATCCACTTCAGCCAGCTGTGTAGAGAGTGGATCTATGGTGTCAGTCAAGATCCAATCAACAAAAGAGAAATCACTCTATGTATTCCAGACAAGAGGAATTTGATACAGGGAAGGAATTGAACTACCAAAGGGTCTGGTAAGTCAACCCTGGGATTAGCAACAGCAGGAAGTTGCTACCACTCTTAGGCTGGACGAATGATGGTATTCCAATGCCCAGAGGCCAGGGTCACCCAGCAGGCACCAGAACCCCAGAGGGGACTGCCTGAAGGGAGCCAGGGCTATGGAGAGAGAATGTCCTCCACAGAGGCAGATCCAGAGGTAGATCCAGGCTGAGCATGAAAGGGAAGATACCCTGGCTTCTTCCCTCCTGCCACCCTCCAGCCTTCTGCTGGTAACTTCCATTGGCTGAATTTACCCAAAAACCAAATGACAAAGGAGCCTGGGAAATCAGTTTCTTAGAAGGCAGAGCAGTGCTGTGGAAGATGGGAATGGATCTAAGGGCAAACAGACAAATGACCAGCACAAGGTGCAGAAGCGGAGGCCAGGACGGATCTGAAATGGTCCAGGTGAGGGGTGATAGTGGCTGGGAGCATGGTAGTGGTGGTGAGAAATGGCTGGATTCAGACACATTGATGGATTGTATGTGGTGTGTGGAGGAAACGGAGGTGTCAATGGAAACTTCTGAGATGGCATTTACTAATGGGGGAAGACTCTCTGGAGCAGATTGGGGTGGGGGGTCATAAGTCAAGTCCTGTTTTGGGGCATAGGACTTTTGAGATGCCCAGTTGACCCTGTACTGGGGGTGATGTTGAAGAGACAGCTGGAAACCCAAGACTGGGGTTCAAGGGAGAGGAAGGAGCTTCAGACACAAAGGCAAGCCATCAAGGTATACATGGGGTTTTGCCATGGGACTGGGTGACACCACCTGGGGGGCATATGCCCCATTGGAGTCACATGGCTTTCCCTGAGCCAATACCTTGGTGGTGGGGGGTGCAACACACTGACTGGCCAGGACTGGGTTTCATGCCTAGTCAGGAATGTGATATGAAAGGTGAGGGTCTTGCTCACCCAAACCACATGTCCTGAGTTGCGGAGAGGTGGCTTCCTAAAGAAAACTCAGAGTGTGCTTAGCAGAAGGGGACTTGTTTCCTAACAGCAAAAACAAAACAAAAGAAACAGCAGTTGCTCCCTAAGGGTTCCTCTCATTAATTCCACAGTGTCTTGAAGCACCTATTCTGTGCCAAGCTAATACCAGCTAAGGAACCTACTATGTGCCAAGTCCTGTGCTTTTCCCCTCACTTTACCTAGAGAACTAGCCCTACTGAGGACGAGAGGGTACCTAGGGGTCTCCCAGCTCCAGCTCTTGTCTCACTGGTACCTCAGTTTCCCCTCAGTACAAAGGCTGAATGATCCGATTAACCCCACTGATGGGGATGGCAGAAGACAGCAGATGTGGGGGGCGGCACTTCCCACCCCTGGAAAAGGCAGAATAGGATGTGGCTGACTCCAAAGCCCACACTCTAATGTCCTGAGTCTCACTCCAGCCTGTGCCTGCTCTGGGCCCCCCTCCCGAAGCACCCACAGCACTTCCACAGCACAGCCTTCAGCCTCCAGCTGGCAGCTGCTAGGACCCAGGGGGCCGGGTGCCAGGCCCTGCCCCTCCCTTGCCAGCTCTGTGTATCTCCAAAGGGCAGCATCAAAGTGACAGCCAGTACCATCTCCAGCAGGGGCTGAGTTGCTGGGGTGGAGGAGAGAACCACAGTCCCAGCCTTGCACACTTCCATGGGGCCGGCCAAGCCCCCAAGAGAATGGCAGCCTGGGTGTCTGAGCCAGCACCTGGGCAGCCTGTGAGGTGAGAGGCTAGAGGAGCAACGGACGGGTGATGGGAATGGGGCCGGGGGTGGCGAGGGGCAGGCGGGGGAAGCTCCATTTCGCTCTCTGCATCCCAGCACAGGGTGAAGCCTGAGCGCTCGAATGGCCAACGCCACAGGGCTGAACGCACCAGAAGTCGCAGCCTCGATGGGGTTGATCCTGGCGGCTGTCGTGGAGGCGGCAGCACTGCTGGGCAACGGCGCACTGCTGGTTGTCGTGCTGCGCACGCCGGGACTACGCGACGCGCTCTACCTCGTGCACCTGTGCGTAGTGGACCTGCTGGCTGCCGGCTCCATCATGCCGCTGGGCCTGCTGGCCGCTCCGCCGCCGGGGCTGGGCCGCGTGCGCCTGGGCCCCGCGCCCTGCCGCGCGGCACGCTTCCTCTCGGCGGCGCTGCTGCCCGCCTGTACGCTCGGCGTGGCGGCGCTCGGCCTGGCGCGCTACCGCCTCATAGTGCACCCGCTGCGGCCCGGCGCGCGGCCTCCGCCCACCCTCGTGCTCACCGCCGTGTGGGCGGCGGCGGGGCTGCTGGGCGCGCTCTCCTTGCTCGGGCCGCCGCCCGCACCGCCCCCTGCCCCGGCTCGCTGCTCTGTCCTGGCAGGGGGCCTCGAGCCCTTTCGGCCGCTCTGGGCGCTGCTGGCCTTCGCGCTGCCCGCCCTCCTGCTGCTCGGAGCGTACGGCGGCATCTTCCTCGTGGCGCGCCGCGCTGCCCTGCGGCCCCCGCGGCCCGCGCGCGGGTCCCGGCCGCGCTCCGACTCTCTGGACAGCCGCCTCTCCATTTTGCCGCCCCTTCGGCCTCGCCCGCCCTGGGGCAAAGCAGCCCTGGCCCCGGCGCTGGCCGTGGGCCAGTTCGCAGCCTGCTGGCTGCCTTACGGCTGTGCGTGCTTCGCGCCCGCTGCCCAGGCCGCCGCGGCCGAGGCGGCCGTCACCTGGGTAGCCTACTCGGCCTTCGCGGCTCACCCCTTCCTGTACGGCCTGCTGCAGCGCCCTGTACGCCGGACGCTGGGCCGTCTCGCCCGACGAGCGCTACCCCGGCCCCCGCGGGCCTGCACTTCGCGGGCCTGGCACCCGCGGGCCCTCCTGCAGCACCTCCATAGACCTCCAGAGGGCCCTGTCCTAGGCCCTTCTGAGGCACCAGAACAAGCCCGCGATTTGGCAGGAAGGGAGAGCCTGAGCATGCCAGAGGCCACGTGAGAGATGTCTCCCAAGGTGAGCCGGGACTGGAGAAAGCAGGGTGGTATCACAAAGGGCCCATCCAGCCTCCAGCACAGCTTATGGCAGGTAGCCTGCCTGCACTTCTGGCTCTGGAATGGGAGAAAGGGGACCTGCAGCCAAGTGAGGCCCAGAGGCTTCTGGGAGCTAGGAATCCTGAGTTCTGGGCCCAACTCTGCATGGCCTTGTACACAGACCTACCCTTCACTAGGTATCAGTTTTCCCATCTGTACCCTGGACCATCTCTAAGGGCTTCTCCAGCTTGGGTGATCTGGACACTCATGGGTGATCCCCAGGCCAAGGAAGAAGCAGAGGTGGGCAGGATCACAGAAGGCCCTAATGGCTCACAGCCAAAGGGAATGGGCCAAGTAGGGCAGGGTCTGGGTTACAGCCACAGCAGGAGGAACCAGTGAAGGGACATTCAGAAAGACCTCCTGCACATCTGCACCAAGGAGAGGCTGGACAAAACTACTGGAACTCCTCCATCAGCTTCTAAAAATGTCCAGAAAACAACTGGATCGCTTTGGTGCCAGAGGCAGGAGGCTGGACAACATGACCCCCCAAAGAGCCCTGAAGCCCCAGAACTGGCATGTGGAAGGGGCCGAGGCCCAGCTGGGGCTGATGGAGTCACAGATGGGGGTCCTCTGGGGTCTCAGCTACACCCGTTTTCTGGAGGTTTTGCCAATACCCACAGTGTTTCACAGCTTCCTGGTCTCTCAGAATATTTATTCAAAAACAGGAATTGAAAAAACTGTACAGAGTGTCTGCTGCTGAGAACTCGGCCCCTGCCCCCATGCCACTCCCCCAGCTGCCTGGCAGTGCCCCCTCTTCGGGCTGCCCTCTGCCAAGCCCAGCCAGTCCATTCCAGTCAAAAGGGTATCAGTGGAAGCAGCAGGAATCTGCAGGGAGGTGGGGAGAGAAGCATGGCCCCCAGCCGCCCCCAGGCCTCCTCCCTGATCCCCACAGGGGGACAGGAGGCAGGGAAGCCCTGAGGGATGGGGAGTGCATGAGTGACCCCCGCAAAGTGGGGGCACTTAGGATGCTCCCTGCATCCAAGCACAGAGCTAGAGGGGATCAAGACCCCTACCCTGGGGCTGCTGCAGCTCCCAGAACCCTGGGCCAAAAACAGCCCCCACTCCGAGAGCAGGGACTCCCACAGACCGGGGCAGGGTGGGGGGGTGCATCCATGCGTCTGGGCATTAGCGGCGTTTGGGACCGCCCCCCCCCCCCCCGGGGGGGGGCCTCCTTGGGCAGATAGTGGAGGCAGCCCCCTGCCGGCAGTCCTGCCTGCTCCCGTGCCTGTGCCTCAGCTGGCCTCAGTAGGGGGAGAATTTCTGCCGCTCAGCTTTCTTGCTCCCATTGGCCGCTGCCATCTTGGCAGTGTAGGCCGCCAAGCCCGGCGGTGGCCCTGGGGAGGCAGGTGGTAGAGCCAAGAAGGGTACAGGCTTGAGGCCGATGAAGTTGGAGAGGGAGATGGCATAGGGCGTGCCCAGCAGGCCTGGGGGAGCGGTGGGCAGGGCCGTCAGGGGTGGCGAGAAGGGGGCAGGCAGGTCTGTGGGGGCCGAGCCGGGTGTCCCCCCAGAGGTAGACTTGGCCGTTTCTAGACTGGAAAGAGGGATAGAGAGGGAAGATGAAGGGGAAGGTCGGGGGTGAGAAAGGAGGCAATGAGGGCAAATATAAGGGGTGAGATTAGATGAAAAATAGAGAGGACTTGAGAACAATGACCTGGGGAGGGTGTGTTTGAGGAGAAGATGGGAAAGGTTGGAAGAGCGCGGACGGGAAGAAAGGACAAGTAAATATAGCATTGGGTAAGGGGAGAAATGGGGAGGCCGAAGACCCAGGGAAAAGAGACAGGGTTGGAGAAACAGGACATGGGGGACAGATGTATGGGGAAGATGGGGCAACACTGAACAAGTGTGGCAAGGTTAGGGGAGGCAGAGGACAGGCCCAGGAGAAGGGAGGTCAGCTCTCCCCACCCGACCTGTGCCTTTCTCAGGCACAAAAGTCCCATGACCTGTGATACCCCACCCCACACTCACCAGGCAGTGATGAGGTACTGGGCCAGGGCGATGGACACTGGTGAACCAGTGATGGTCACGTGCCGCTCACCAGCGCCCTCTGCTTGGTTCCCGATCTTGATATGTGCCCCTGACATCTGCCGGATCTCACTGATCTTGCTGCCCTGGCGCCCAATCACGCAGCCAATCAGCTGGAGAGAGGGTGGAATTCAACCCTAGGTGAGGCCCAGACGCCCCAGGCCCCCCTACCCACCCTCAAACTACCCCATCCCGTGCTCACGTCGTTGGGAACCAAGAACTCCTGTGAGCTGGTCTGTGTGCCAGGATCCAATCCTGCTGGGGGGAGAAGAGGGATTGGGCGTGAGTCTGGACCTTTGCTGCCTCCCCGTGTCCTTTCCAGAGGGGCTACCTGGCCCCTTGGGATCTGCCCCTGCTTCCTTCTGCAGGGACTGCTCACCTGGCACCATGCTGGGTGAGGCGAAGGGGACTGCGTGGCCCGAGAGCTGCTGGAGCTTGGTGACCTGTGCCAAGAAGAAGGGTCAGGAGTCAGAGGAGGCTCAGTTCGGGAAGGGGTGCCTTGGGCTGCGGTCACTCACCTCAGCTGAGGTCACAGCCCCATACTGACCCTGGACGGAGAAGCCCTGTGGGGACAAAGTGGGTAAAAGGGGGTTACTGTGATCAGGGCAGTTTGGCCAGAGTCACCCCTCCCCACCTCTCCCTGGACCCCCAATTCCTTCTTCCATCCCCTTCCCCGGTAACACATCCCACCCCTCCTGCTGTTCCCCCTCACCTGGTTGGTGGAGAGAAGGACAGTACCTAAGGAGAGGCTTGGATGATATGGGATAGTGGCTCCTTTGGGTGGGGACTGGAAGGCACAAAAGGGGAGGCTCTATCAGGACCTTCTCAGGCCCCCCCTGACCTCCCCAAGGGCCCTGTGTTCTCAAGGCCCTCTCTATAACCCCCAGGTAAATGCAGCCCGACATCCTGGAGCTTCTCACATCCATCCCTGCAGCCCCACTCTATCCCCACCTGGTGTCACGTGGGACTTGAGGGCCTGACAAGGCAGGCCCAGGGCCCATCCCCTGCCCTCTCTCCCTGCCCCAGGGCAGCACCTCCAGGATAACAGCACAGATCTGGCGCACACACAAGATGATGGCATCAGGCACCCCAGAGACGGTGACAGCACGCTCTGTGGAGTTGGGGAGCAGGTCCCCTGCCACCTGCACCTGGGCACCTGTAGTCTGCAAGCAGAGAACGGGGGCCACTTTCAGCTACTCCCATAACCCAGAGCATGCCTAGGCTCGGAGCTCCCCACAGGACAGGAAGCTGTAAGCCCAGGTCTCCCCTTGAAACTGAAGGGTAAGACTCTCTTGGGGTGGTACCCCTTCCCCTCACCTCTCGGATCTCCTTGATCTTGGTGCCAGCCTTCCCAATCAGCGAGCCACACTGGCTTGCAGGGATGACAAGGCGCAGGGTCACTGGAGGTCTGGAGACATTCCCCCCGTTTGCAGGAGCAGCACAGAGGTCCTGGGCAGGAAGACTGGGTTGGCTGTGCATGCCCCTACTGCTCCCCCTCCCCTGGAGCACCTTCTTGCTGGGGGATGAAGGAGGGAAGCCTGCCCGCGTCCCACTCCAATGAGAGAACCCTGTCCTTAGCTTGGCCTTCTGTCCCACCCGTAGCCATTCTGTGGAGTCAGAGTCCTGTTCCTCCCGGGGAACCACCTGTGGCCCCCAGCCCCTCAGACAGCCACAGACCTCATCCAGCTTGAAGGCAATCATGGAGACTGCATGGAAGACGGCTGCTGTAGATCCGGTGATGGTGGTGATGCGCTCAGGGCAGGAGCCCTCAGAGATGGTGATCCGGGCGCTACTCTGTGGGTGCAGGACAAGCGCCAGGCAACGGGGCTCCTTCTCTGCTTCCTGGCCAAGAACTTGCCTGCCCCTCCACTCACCAGGCCCCAGCCAAGGCTGGAAACAGCCACCTTCTAGGGGCACTCACTGGTCATCCCAGATGGTGGATTCAGGGACAAGGTGAAGCAGGCATCTCCCCTCCCCTCCAAACCAGGTGCCCTGGGCTCCTCTCCCAAACTCCGTCCTCACCTGTTCCCGGATTCGCTTTACAGTCTCTCCTTTCTGCAGGAGACAAAATAGAAGGCAAAATAGAGAATGGCTTTTAGGCCAAGCAGCCGTTGATTCCTTTCCTGGACTGAGGTCTCAGGTTGAAGGGGACATACAGAACAGAACGAGGTACCTACCTTCCCAATTATGCTGCCCACTTCCTGCAAACAAGACAAGAGTGGAGTCAGCAGGGTACCAATACCCCAGGGCCAGCGCTTGCCCCTACTTCAGGCAGGGGCTCTGCAGGAGACAGGATACCCAAGATCAAACTCCCTCCCGGAGGACCAGGTCTTGCCTCGCCTTGCACTTTGCCCCCTCCTGAGCCACAGCGAAGCACTCCCCCACAAGCACTTACTTTCCCATGCATCAGCATCCGCAGTGTGAGGGTGATGCTGAGCTCTGGCTCCTCCTCCAGCCCCGCATCTGAGCCGCTCATCCTGTCAGGCGGGGCTGGGGCCGAGGCCGCCTGGGAGTGCGTCCACGCTGTGGCCTGGCCGGCTCTGCGGGGGGCAGTGGGAGATGGGTTAGAGAAGAGCTCAGCTTTCTTTCAGGTCCCTTGCCCTTACATGGGAACCCCAGAGCCAAGCTAGATAAACTTCCAGAGCAGGGAGACAGCGTGGACCACAAGTTTCAAGTGTCACATTGACCAGTTTGCTGTGTGCAGCTCACTAGCTGTGTAAGCCTGGCTGACATATTTAACCCTTCTGAGCCTCAGCTTCCCATCTGTAAGAAGGGGATACCCAATCCAGTCCCCAGAGTTATGAGAATTAAAAGGAGATAGGTGCATATGTGACAGGCACCCAGTTTCCACAAGTATCCTTCCCTTCCCCTCGTACGTCAGGAGAATTAACTATGGGAGTCCAGAGAGGGAGCCTCCTACCTGACCTCTTGGAAGAGGGGACCGTTGTCGATTGGCCCTTGAAGGTTGGGCTAAAATCGAAACGTTACTTCAAATGGGAGGCACTTGCGCCCAGGGACCAGAGCCCCTGCTGGCTAGAGCCTGGAGGAGCAGCTGGAGAGGGAGCCGGAGCAGCCACGGGAGCCATGGGAGGTCTTGAAAGGTGGGCAGAAGTGAAGGTAGTGAGGCTCCAGGAGGGTGGGCTGCATCCGTCCACTAGAAGTCACTAAAGCAGAGGCTCCTGCGGACAGCTGTGAGCGAGGTTCATTCAGCACTGGGGGTGGGGGTGGCGGTGGGGTCTGGGGACCAGCCGTGTGCACGGTGGTTTTCTGAGCCCTCTCCTATGTGCTGAGGAGGTTAGAAGTGTCCGGGCTGGCCGTGTTCCCAGCTTGGAGCACTTTCTACTGTACCAGAAACAAATCACTTGGACTCTTGAGTCTCAGTGTTCTCACCCGTAAAATGGAGGGACTGCTTCCCCCTTGGAACTGGGTGATGGGTAAGAAAGGGATTGGGGGGCTGGGGAATGTCAAGGCCGTTAACTGATGGAAGAAGGAGGAGCTGGAGATTAGCTGCTGGGATTAGCCCAGCCGCCAGCCCTCCCCACCCGACCCCTTTTCATGCCCCAACTTAATCCTGAACCTTAATCCTGCTTGGAAATCCCTCTCCTCCAGCGGCTGCCGCCCGCCAAGGCTCTGCCTTGATGGGAAGCTCACCGGGGAACCAGAACCTGAGCAGGAAAACAGGGAGGGGACCAACTGGTGCCAAGTCTGAGCCAAGAACAAGCCCTAACCCTATGAATTCCTACTGCCTGGGAAGGGTGGGGGGGATGAGTGTGCTGGGCTCGAGCACCCCAGAGACCCCTGGGCACCTTCCTCCTCAACCCCCTGCCCTATCCTGACTCGAGGGTCAAGGGTGTGGAGCTCTGTTCAATGCCCTCTTCAGAACCCCCCTTGCTAGCCTGAGCGTGGGCATGGAGGAAGGAGGCGGGGTGGGGCTCCCAGCCTGGCTGTCTCTGGAAGCCACTGTATGGCCTGAGATCTTTATTTCTTCATCTGTACCATGGGGGTGACAACCCTGACTCCCCAAACACCCAGTAACTGTTGCCTCCCCAGCACCTGCTCCTCCCTCCGCTTGAGTTCTGTCCATCGGCTCTCCAGAGGTCAGAGGTCAACAGTGGATGCAGGGCCTGTGCTCTGTGAGCATCCTGGCCAGCCTCATGCTGGCTGCCCTTGCTAACATTCCCCCAGCTGCCAGCAGTTCCCCCAGCAAAGCACTCGTGATGACGTGCTTAGTTTCTGTTGCCCTGGCCAGCCCGGGAGCCCCTTAGAGCAGGAGCCAAGGCTGCCACCCTCTCCTTGTGTTCCCAGAGCCAGGCTGGAGAAGTTACTCAGAACACGCTGGTTATCTGAACAGATGAATTCACCAAACAGAAGGGGAGCCTGGTGCCTAGAGAGGGTCTGTAACCTGCCCAAGGTCACAGAGAGGTGGAGCCTGGTGGGACTAGCAGGGCCCTGCCTGCTAGTGTGAGGGCCTCCTCTGTCTGGCTGTCCTGTCTGGGTCTGTCTGTCCCCTTCCAGGGGGGACAGGGGCAGCTCTTCAAAGGTGGGGAGCAGGCTTTAGTAGTCTCTCAGACCCCTGCTTGGTTGGTAGACATGGGTTGTGTTTGGAAAGGACTGTACTTGTCCAGAGCCACATCTTAAGCTCCGGAACTTTCTGGGGCTCAGGGACCTCTTTGGGGTGGTAACCAATGGGAGGCCCGACATTGTCCCCATACCATTTGCACATCAACTTTTGTGGGCAAAGGCTCCTGGGAAAATAGGGCAGAAGGGTTGGGATGTGGCCAGAACTAGGGCTCCTGCCCTGAAAAAGATACCTGGGTTTACAGCAGAGCCCCACTGCCCCAAATTCAATGGGTGACCTTGGCCAGGCCTGCACCTGACCTAGACCTCAGTTTACCTACCTGTGCTATGTGTGTGTGTGTGTTTGCAGGAAGGGGGTGGGGGAGGGGAGTGGCTGGTCTCTCTGTGTCCTTCCTGTTTTGATAGACCCTCAAGGTCTTTCCTCTCTTTAGGGGAGAACAAGGGGTCTTGATACAGGTCTCTCTAATTATTCTCCTAGGAGCCCTAAGGACAAGCAGCCCTACTAGGCATATTGGCTCCCCTTCTACCCTTACAGGGGCTCTAGGGAGTTGCTTGCTGCTCCAGCTTGGTGGGCCCTAGGTCCCTGCTGGGCCACCCACATGGCAGCCACGCGTCATGCCACACTGACCTCCAGCTCACCTCTGGGGGTACCCAGCCCCCTCTGGTCAGCAGGGCTCCCTGGCAGGACATACCAAGCTCAGACCAGGCCTCTGACCTCGGGTGTTCCCTTCTTCTCCCCAGACCCCCTCCCCAGATCCAGTGCCCACTCCTTCTGTCTCTGGCTTCCTGCCCCCCAAGCTGGAGGGGGGGGGGGGGGGGGGGGTGACAGCTGTGTAAGCAATGGCGGCTGCCCCTTCCTGCCCCTCCCCCCCAGCTGTCTCTCTCTCATGACAGCTGCCCAATCAAAGGGCCGGGGGCTTAGCCAGCTCCCCCCCACACGCAGGGATCAAGTGTCCACCCTGGCTTTGTTCTGGAGCAAGAACAATCCGGGGGAGGGGAAGGCTCCTGGGGCCAAGCAACTCAAGTGGACTGGCCCGCCCCTTGGGGGATTCCCTTGGCTCTAATAGCTAGAGTGTCTGGACCAACTAGGGCTTGTAGACCCACCTGGGCTGGAAAGAGAGAAGAGTCCAGTCTCCAAGTTCATCCCCCACCTTACATCCCCCAACGGTCCCCAACCTAACAGCCTCCTTCTATTCCTCTCCAAAAGCAGCCATGCTGGCCACACCCAGTGATGCTGGAGAATGGCTCAGGGCATCAGGCGAAGCAGGGCATGGTGGGGATGGGGTGGGGGGAGTGGACCCTGGGGCCGGAGGGGATCAGCACTGCGGGATCCTGACTCCCCTGCCCATTTCTCTGGGCATGCTCACCCTTTCTGATTAACTAGGCCTCCAGAAGAATTGCCACAGCATCCTTGGATCCATATGCCCAGCCTCTCAGCCTTACAGCCTCCCAGGATGGCCATTCATACCTACTTTATGGGAGAGTTGGGGGAGGAGGGGCCTGGAGGGGAGCAGCCTGGGGTCTATGAGCTCCAGCCTCTGCTTCCTTGACCTAGAACTGTCCTGTAGACTCAGTACTAGGCAGAGACGGGAAGCTCTGACAAGCTGGCTGGTGCCAGAAATGCTACAGCCTCCTTAGAGCATCATTAGGCAACCCCTCAAGAGTCCTCACAGCCAAGGGAAACCAAGGCAGGCCCAGGCCCAGACTGGAGTCCAGGAGAAAGGGTGCAACTTCATGGTACAGCCCCATGCACTGGTACACATCCCCTCACTGTCTCACCAAATTGAGAAAGGTCTCTAGCTTCCATTCTCCATGCTAGACTGGGTCACTCTGCTGCTCAACAGCCATCCTTGGCTCCCCAATGCCCAATGAATAAAGCCTGATCTCCATAGATGGGCACTCAAGGCCCTTCATGATCTGGTCTCTGCCAACTTCTCTTGTCTCATCTCTACCCCATCCCCCACACACACCAGACTGCAAAACACGCCTAGCACCACCAGGCCTCTGGGCCTTTGCCCAGGCTGATCCTAGCTTGAAATGCCCATCCTCCCCACTCTGTCCAAATCCTTCTGAGATGCTGCCTCCTCTGTGAAGCCCTCCCCAACCTTCCAAGTCAGATGTTATCACTCAGGCCTCTCTGCCCCTCCAAGATGCCTACAACACAAAGAAGCCCCATTTGGGCATTTCTGAGCCTGCCTTTCCACTACAGAGTTCCAGGAGGGCAGAAGCTCCTCCAGGAGGGCAGAAGCCAGTACCAGTCTCAGTGTGCAGGGAGAAGAAAGGGCTCACAGGGCCCAGAGGCATTAGAGACCAGCGATGGGGCTAAGAATCCCAGAGAAGCAGTGACAGTGGGGTGAGAAGACCCAGGGCTCAGGGGACCAGCCCCACGCAAGAGTCAGGATCTGCCTGGACAGGGTTCCCAGTTCCCATTCCTTAGCACCCCCAGCCCCTGCTCCTGCTGTGTCTCTGGGTCTAGGGGCTCCCCAGGCATTATCACGGGTGGGGGATTTGCACTTTGAGACTTCTGGAGGCCCTGAGTGGGTTTCACCATGGCGAAGGGGGGCTGAAGGAAGAACTGTGGTGTGGCATAGGTTTCACAAAATCGGGCTCAGACTGTCATAGCTGGAAGGGCCTCATCAGAGGGGAACCTGAGGCCCAGAGAGGAAGGGGCTTGTCTGTAAGGCTACATGAGAATGAGAGGCAACTGGCAGAGCTGGCAGAATCCCAGGGTCCACCTGTGCAGCTCAGAGCTCTTTCCTCAAGAGGTCAGCGCCACTAGGCAATGGGGATGGAGGCTGGAGGGGGGCAGTGATGGGAGTAGGGAGGGTGGGCAGAGCCTGTCTGGGGACACAGGGCGGGGCAAAGCCAGCCTCCCTGTGGCCTGGGCCTGCCAGGGTGTGTGGGCCGCCTGCTCCCAGCCCCCCACCCTGAGCATGCAAGAAGAACAATCCCCTTGTGTTTGGGCAGCCTGAGCCTGCATGCTGATGAAGGCTGGGGGGTGGGGGCTGGGATGGGGGCGCCTTGGAGGTTGAGGGGGTTCCAGGGCCCGGAGGGGCTAGGGGACCTTCAGATGGGAAAAGGATAGGGTCCCAGGTGCTGGCTCTGAAGCAGTGAGGGTAACACCAGGAAAGAGTGAAGGCTGTAGTTGAGGTTTAAGGTCCTGGGGAGTCACCGGGGGTCTAAAAACTCTTTGTAGGAGAAGAGGAACCCCTGGAGACACATGCTCTATTGGTCCAGCGTGAAGGTGACCATCCTGCGCTTGGTGGGAACTAAGAGCCCACATTCTGGAAGGAGGGAATGCACCTGGCCCTGGGTGCATCCCCTTGAAGACCACTCCCCAGGGCGCTGGAGTCGGGCGGGGCACTGGGTGCTACAGGTCCCAAGATGGCGGGCCTGGGATAGGGGACTGAGGAGGCAGGCACCTCCCTCTCCTGGCGAAGCAGGCTCCAGGGCCAGGCTGAAGTGACTAGCCAGAGCCCCCGCACCTCCCAGGACTCCAGCTAAGAAGCTAGGTCAGAGCTGAGGGGCTAAAGAGCCACAGGGCACAAGGGACCACTCCGAGCCCCCAACTGTCATTTCCACACACCCCTGGCCTGGAGGTCTGTGTCTGGTGCCCTCAAGGACTGCAGAGAATGGGAAGGGGTGTGTGCTGAGCCAGGAACTGCAGGGGAATGTCAGATGGGGACAGAGATGGAGCAGAACCAGAACCCAGGGCAGGAGGTCGAGAGAAGAGCAGGTCCAAAGGACAGAAACAGCAGGTGGGATGAGGGCCTCAAATCTGGGGTCTCAGGTCCAGGAAACCCCTCCCTGGTACTGGGGGCTCCTCTAGCAGACCAGCGCCCCCCACCTGTGCAGGCCTGGGCCCGTGTGGGACAGGGAACGTGTTCCTCGCAGTCTCCCAGTCTCCCAAACCCGCGACCCCAGCCTGTGGACTCAGGCGCGGGCTCCCCGCCCCTGGCCGAACCCCCAAACTTCGCGGCCCGCGGTGCCCCGCCCGGCCCGCGCCCTACCTCGCTGGGGCTGTCCTGCGGCGGTGGCGGCGCGGCGGCTGGGCCGCTCAGTCCCACATTGTCCCCGGGAGAGGCGGCCGCTCACAACTGCGAGTGACATCAGCTGCGAACAATGAGGGGTTTGACAGGCGCGGAGCCCGGCCGGCCCGGAGCCCGGCTCCGCGCCCCCCCCCACCCCCGGCCCGCCCGGCCCGGCCCCTCCCCGCCCCCTCCCCGGATCCGATTACAGCGCGGCGGGCCCGCCCCAGCCGCCCCAGTGCCGCAGCCGCCCGCCCCGCCCCGCGCGCCGCGGTGCGCCCCGAGCGGCGGCCGCTTCCGGGAGGGCTGGGGCGACCCTACCCGGGCGGCTCCTCCAGCCCCCGGGAGTGGGGGGCGAGGGGGTTAGTCCGGCCTGAAGCGCGGTCCCAGCCACGGTCCTTCCCGCGCCACCCGCGCCTGCGCCCCACTCCCAGTCCCTTCGCTCTGGGCCAGCCGGTCCTTCCGTCCCGGGCCGCCCGCCCGGTGACTCTGCCGAGCCCTCTGCACCCCCATCTCGGCCTCGGCCCCGCCGCCAGCGCCCGCGCTGCCCCGCTCCGGCTCGGGTCCCTCGGAGCTCAAGTTTCGACCCTCCGCCGGGTCGGGTTCCCGGCGCTCCTCGCTTCTGCGCCATCCATCCCCGCGCGGGGCTCTCGCCCACCAAGCCCCGCACCCCTCAGCCACCCCCAGCTTCCGCGAGGCCAAGCCCTCGTCCGTCCAGGACAGGTTACCGGACCAGCTGGAGGAGGCGCCTGTGAGCGGTGTGACCCTGTGCACCCGCCCCGTGATTCTCCCAGAGCTACCCCCAGAATTCCTTTTTGGGCTAGGGTCGCGAGGGTCGCCAGGGACGCGGCGCAGTTGAGTACTCGACTAGGGAAGGGGTAAGAGTAGGGGGAGGAGCTGGGCGGTTCCCAAGCTCTCGCTTTCCCGCACCGCACCCTCGGCTGCCGCGCCCCCTGGGGCGCAAATCTACCTCCCCCTCTCCTCCGTAATCGGCTCAGCCTGGTCCCACTGACCTCCACCTCCCCCTACAGCTGAGTCTCTTGGCACCTGGGTGTGTGGGGGTGGGGAGGGGAATCCAATCTCCCTTCCCCTCCATCTGGCCCGGTGGACAAAGGGCAGGGGGACCATCTGGTCCCGCCAGGGTGGGGGAGGGGCCTGCAGTGGCGGTCCCAAGGGGCGGGGGAGGGGCGGCGCTCTGGAGACAGCGAGAGCCTGCGGGGTCTAATTGCATCACTTTATTTCACAGACCTCCAATCTCTGTCTCCCCACCCCCCAAAACTCAGAGCAGGAAACTAGCTTGGCTGAGAAGACCCAGGCCTAATAACCTGGGGAGCTGTGGAGCACCCAGAAGAAAGTGGAAAAGCTGGGAGATCTGAGGGTCGAAGTGATGGCCCTTCCCTTTTGTGGGCATTTCTGATCTGGGGGCCAGCTGCAACCTGTGGGTGAGTGAAGTTCAAAGCTGGCCACACCCTAAGCTTGGTAGAGGGTCTCCTGCAAGGGCTGGCCTCATGGTGTCCCCACCTTCCCAGCCATGGGGTGCTGAATGGTTGGGGAGGGCAGCATGTGCCTGTGCAAGTGCTTGTGTGGGGACAGAGTATGTGTGTGTGTGCCTGTGCATGCAATGCAAAGCTGCTGTGAGAGTGTGCGTATCAGCCCAGAGTTGCATGTACCTGTGTGGTTGCCCCCAAGTGAAGGATCATATTTGGGAACATAGATGACTGTAATGTGTATGCATGCATGTGGGCATGTATGTATTTGTGGCCTAAGAGGTGAAGGTAGGGGGTGTTTGTGCCCAGCAGGGCAGCCAAAGGAGGAGCTGGGAGGTGGGGGGAGGCTGGGCAGAGCAGAGGAAGGAATGCAAGCCGAGCAGGAAAGCCTATAGGAGAAGCTCATCTAATGGATTACCCTCCACCAGATTATGTCCCTTGATTCCTGAATTTTTTCCTCTTGATTTCACCTCTTCAGTCTGTCACTGCAAGAGAAAGAAGAGGAAAAGACAGACCCTAAAAGAACTCAGATAGAAAGACACACCTGTTGGATGTGCAGGATGAGCAGGAGCCCACGAAGGGAAGGAGAGAGAATGAGTGAGAGAGAGCCCAAGGCAGGCAAGTGGCCCACCCCCATCAGCAGGGCTGCGCCTCATGCTAGCTCCTGCAGGAAATCCAGCAGCCCTGTATGCCACTCCTCGGGTTTGTCAAGGTAACAGGGGTGCCCCGCCCCCTCCATGACTAACACCCGGTGGTTGGGCAGCTGCTTCAGGTGCTCAAAGCTGGTCTGACCCATGGGGTCCTGGTCTCCATACACGATAAGAACCGAGGTCTAGAGAAAGCAAAGGGAGGCAGAGTCAACAGGGACCTGCCCCACCAGCCCCAGCCTCCTAGAGATCAATTCCAGCCCTCCCCATCACTTTGGTCTCTCCCTGGGGTCACTGCAAATGACAGAGAGAGACAAGTTGGCCCAGTGCAGGGATGGTTTGGAGAGGTATGAATTTGTGTATGCCCCAGCACACAGTTTAGCACAGGGCTTGCCACAGTAATCTTCTGCCTAGTACACCAAAAGGGCGGAGTTTGGTGGTTCAACTCCTCCCGGAAGCTACCCCTTTGGTTACCCAGTACCCAGGGATGGACTGTTCCTTGCTCCTGGCAGGGACATCTCAGCCTCCCACATAGGGGTACCTTCACTCTGGCATAGTCGGCAGCATTGATTTTGTCAGTGCAGATGGGGGCCACTGGCACATAGCCCCGGATCTGGGAGCCTGGGGCCACGAGGAAGGGCAGGGAGTACATGCCACTCAACGATGGGCTGATCACGACTGGGGGGCCCATATCCAAGGCATCCACCACAGTTGCCAGAAAGCTGCTGGGGACCAGCTCCCCAACAGGGGCAGGGGCTGTTGCTTCCTTGGATCGCCCCAGACCTGCAAGGATTCAGGTGCGTGAGAGACAAAGGTGGTGAGTAGGAAAACGGGAGAGAGGGTCCCTTCCTCCAGGAAGCCCTCCTAGGTCAACCGCTGTGCCAGGTTCCTGCAACAGGCAGTGTTGCATGCTGTAGTTACTCCTACAGCAACCTAGGTCTGTCATATCTGTAGCAAGCATAAGGCATTTCCTTGCATGTTTGTGCCCATCTCCCCCAGTACAGCGTCCTCAAAGAATCAGGCTCTGAAGCCCAGCTTGGCCAGATCCAAGTCCCAATTGTCCACTATACATTATGTAAGCTTGGGAAAGTCCCCTCAGCCCTCACTCTACTGTTCAGTTTCCCCATCTGTTAAAAGGAGGTAGCAAAAGTGTTTGCCATTTGAGATTGTTGTGAAAATTGAGTTAACTGCTTCAAGGCACCTGTCCCAGGGCTGGCAGGGTAGATGCCTCCAGGACAGTGGATGAGAGACTGGCTCTGCACACATCCCTCCCCTCCAATTAGTCAATCCCTACCTTCTGCAGAAGGATTAGTTCAAGGCCTTGGCCTTGAAGCTCAGCCCAATCCACTGTCAGAACCAATCCTGTCCCAGCCTGGAGGCCCGCCCTTGGGCACTGAAACCATACCAGCCATGGCCAGTGAGGGGAGCAGGTTGGCCATGCTGCCACCTTCACACTTGGCACCATGGGCTGGGGCCCGCCAGTTGAGGCTATGACTGGCAGTCTTGTGCTGCTCCTCCCTCCCTCAGGACCTAAATTAGGGCTTTGTATGTGGGATCATGACTGGGGGCTTAGCCACCCCCAAAGGTGCCAGGGGACTCAGTGTCACTCCTCAGGGCTTCTAACAGAGCCTGTGGTTTCGGCTCTTTCAAAATATTTTACTTCCAATCGACTGAGCACCGATTATTATGTGTTAGGTACTGGCCACATACTCACATGGATAATCTCATTCCATTCTCATTAGAGCCAAACACCAGAATGAGTGTGGTTATCTCCCATTACAGATGAGGAAACAGAAGCAGAGACATTGCCCCGGGCAACACAGTTAGAAGCAGCTGGGCAGTGTCCAGACCACACCCGGATGGACTAGAGAAGCTCAAAGGCCCTTGTAGTGTGCACTGCGCCCTGTCTAGCTCAGGAGTCAGCCTGGCTAGGTCCTCCCAGTCCCCCAGCCCCCAGCCCTGGGTCCCCAGTGAGGCTCCCACAACCCCTGTCCAGAAGCCTTCCCTGGAGTTACCTGGCAGGTCAATAGCCACAGCCCAGTAGCCAGCCTGGGCCAGCCTGTGCAGCGTGCCCAGGTTCTGCCAGGTCTCGGAGGAGAAGCGTATGCCATGCAACAGCAGCACGGAGAAGCGGGTGGCCTGCCCACTGCCCGGGTGAGCCTCTCGGAAAAAGAGGCTCTGGCCCTGCACCTGGATGGTGCCCTCGTGCTGCTCCACGCCCGCCATACCTCCTGCTGTGCTGGTGAAGCACCTGTGGTTCAAGGCCAGGCTGATGAGAAGCCACAGAACACCTTGCCCAGGTGGAGCAGGGAGGCTGCCACAGACAGGGCAGGGGTCCCTCCTGGAGCATCAAGGAGGCTCCCAAAACTCTAGGAACATGCTTTGGGGGTGAGGAAGACATAGGTGTTATTTCTGCATCTGCCACTACCTAATTGCCTTGGTTTCCTCATCTGAAATATGGGATGTTAAAGCCTATCTCAAGAATTTATGAGTTAAAAAAAAAAGAATTGATAATTGATGGCGCCTGCCTTTGGAAAGAACTTAATACATGGGTCTCCCATTACAATTATTGTTCCCATTGTTATTATCCTTTTCTACGAATGGGGATAATACAAAATAGTACTAGCTCCTAGGTGGTTGATAGGATTCAATGAGGCCAGGCATGTAAAACACTCGCCCGTGCCTAGCACATAGTAAGCATAGTAAATGGATCAACAGCAATCAACAGTAAGTAGCTGACTATTTTGCTTTTCAACATTTTCCTCTTCCAGGCACTGTTATAGGTCGTAGGTTGGCATCGCAGGCCGAAGAGGATAGGGGTTAGAGTAAAAAAATCTGTTTTCCGGAGCCGGAAACCGGAGCGCTGAGCAGGGAAAGGCTTTGAAGTTCCGGCCGGCGAGGGAAGCGAGGTGCTCAGCGCGCTGCCCGCTGGGGCCCAACGCACTGACGCCGCGGCCAGGGGCGCGGTCACCGGCGCCGCCACCGCTCGCTGTGTCCCCTCCGAGGACCTCGGTTGTGGATCGCAGGGTCTGGTAGGGTGCATGCAGAGGGGGTGGGGGCAGACCCGAGGAAGGGGGCCTGGGGAACCGAGATAGGCAGAGGAGAAACTTGGGGTAGGTGGGAGTGGGTTGTAATTGGAGAGAGGAAGAGAGGGTTGGGGGGCGCAGGGCAGGTACCTGGGGAGCTGCGTGGGCTCTCGCAAATAGGAGGCAGGCGAGTGCAGGCGGCGACTGGGGCCCGGGGCGGGGAAGCAGGGATGTGGCCCGCCGGAGGGCGTGGGCCGGGCCGTGCTCCGGGGCGCCCGCTTGTGGCCGCAAGCCGTCCCAGGGTCGACGGGTGCTGCTAGACCCATCCTTCTCACAGCTGTCTCAGTTTCCCCACGCCCCTCGGCCCCACGTGCCCCAAGCACCGGACAGGGTCCGGCCCCGAGACCCTCAGCGACCTGCTCCACATGCATATGGTGTGGCTTGAGAAGGAGCGTTCCTTTGGGGTCTCATCCTTCCTGTTCCCTCCCCCTTCCTCCCCACCCCCTCATCCCCAGCCTGGGCTGCCCAAACCCAGAGTCGTCTGTCTGGCATGTGGCTGAGGCCCGACAGGTTTGAATGCGAAGCTCTGCCAATGCCCAGCCTTGATCGTTTTCCCAACGCCTCCGAGCCTATTTCCTTGCCTGTAGAATGGCTGTGATGTTGCCTACCTCACAGAGTGCTAATAAGGAGTGAATGCTGGGTGTTCCGTGCAGCCTCCTTTTTCCAGGTCTGCCCACACAGGCCAGGGACAGATCAGATGTTGGTCGCATGTCACCAACCAGGATAGGTGACATATAGAGACATAGGAGCCTAGAGGCCACCCCAGGCCCTGACCGAGTGCTCGAGCGCATGTGTATTTGCAGGGGTCAGGGAAGTGGATGGCCGGAGACCTGGGGCTGCTGCATAACAATACTAATATCTGGCAGTTACACAGCGAGGCTTCCGCGCCAGACACTGTTCTAAGGCTTGACCTATCCCTCAGTCCTTAAGACAGGCCTCTGTGGTGGTGACAACCCTCTGTGGTCCTTAAGACAACCCTTATCCTTAACCCTGCTGTACAGACCGGAGACTGAGCAAGGGTGGAGACGTGCTGGTGGGAAGAAGTCGACTGTCCCTCCCCCGGCTTTCAGGCCAAAAACAATCCGGAAAATCGGAACGGGGGGACGGGGCCGCCAAACCTCTGTGCTTTGGGGTGCCGCCCCCAGTGCCCCTTACAGCTCGGCTACTAGGCGTGGACCCGAGACCGCGGACTGCGCAGGCGCGCGGAGGCTCGCAGCCGCCCGCAGAGAGGCGGAGGCTGAGGTAGCGTCAACGTCTAGGGGCTGTTTGGCGCTGGTTGCACCTGAGCGGAGCCCGCCCCACGGTGGCAGACCCGGTCATCCCTGTCGGCCCGGTGAGTGTCCCCGGGGAGCGAGGCCAGCAGGGTGCCCGGGGGCGGGCCATCCTTGCCCCGCCCCTTGCCCCCGGAGCCCTGGGACAGAGTCCTGCTGGGAGGGGCCCGCGCTGGGGCAGCGAGTATGTTTGTGTTCGTGTGTCAAGTGTGCGCGCCCGCGCGTTTGTCAGCGTGTGTTCTTGGGGGTCTGGGTGTACGTGTATGTGTGTGTGGTGTATCGGTGTTTCTGTGTGCCTGTGTTGGGGGGGTTATGTCAGCCTGTGTGCCCGCTTGCGTCTGTATGTCTACTGTGTGAATTTCTGTGTGCGTGTGATTTTAAGGGTGTATATCTACCTGTGTGTCTGTGTGTGTATTTCTGAGGGTCTGTGTTTGGGTGTCCGTCTTTCTGCCTGTGCCTGTGTATTTCTTGTGTGCGTGTGTAGTTCTGGGGTTGTGTGTATGACTGGGTGCTTGAAATATGAGGGTCTGCATATGGTTTTGAAAGCGTGTGTGTGTCTACCTGTCCCTCTGCCTTCCTGATAGCTGAATGTGTGCGTGACTTTGAGGGTGTTTCAAGGTATCGATTGTGCAGAGGCCCGTGCGTGTGCAAGGAGGCTGCCTGTACGTGCAGGGAATAGCTCGTACAAAGGAAAAGCATTTGGGGACAAGAGTTTGTGTGCACGTCTGTACACCTGTGTGTCATTGTCGACGCGTATGCCAAGGACCTAACGCGGGTACAGCGCCTCACTCCCCTCGCCCCATATCTGTAGCGTACTGTTGTCTAGTGCTCCAGCTGCCTGGGTTGCCATAGCAACGGCTGAAGTCCCGTCCCTCCCTACCGGGAGAGGTGCCCCAGGGCACCAGGCCCACCAGAGGAGAGGTTCAGCGCGGATGCTCTGCCTGGTGGGAACCTAGGCTGCCGCGTTGGAGGCTTGCGTCCGAGGCTGGTCGTGGTCAGAAAGAAGAGAGGAGCGTGCTTTTCCTCCACTCATCATCTGGTCCTCCATCAGCCCCAGAGGGGCTGCCACTGCCCAGTCACCACCTGACTCTTGAGCCTGGGGGTGGGGGCTTGGGAAACAAGCCTTCTCGTTCCGGGAGGGGTGGGGGGTGGGGGGGTCCAAGGTGATTCCCCAGCCCTGAACTCCAGCCAGCGCCCAGCTGACACTCAAGACAGACCTGTTTACTGGAATCTGGGAACAAGGCAGGCCTGCTCACCCTAGACCCAAGAAATAAGACAGCCCCTGGTCAGGTCCACTGTATTACCGAAATCTCACAGGAGTCTTGGGAGGGCAGCTGCCAGGTTATCCTCCCCATTTTACTGACAAGGCACACAGCCAGGAATTGGTAGAGCAGAGTCTCAGAGGCAGGGCTAACTGCTCTGTCTGGGTCCTGGATACTGAGGTCTGTTTTCTGGGCTGGCAAAGGACTCAAACTAGAGGAGTCCATGAAGCAGGTCATTTGGCGTGAAGCTGGGGGGTGGGAGGCATTTGTCTCTCCAGCCTCCACGGCTCCCTTTCCACTTCTAGATGTGCCATGCTTCTCCCTAGCCGCATACCCCCTCATGCCTAGGCATTTCCTCCATCAAGGATATTCTCCATGAGCTCTCTTCCCACGTAATATCAGCTAGGGTAGAGCATTAAATATTCCCATCAGTGGTAAAACACATTCTGATTTTAGCATTATTATATGCAGTGTGATAAAAAGAACCATTTCAAAACATGCCCTCAGTGGGACATCGCTTTACTCTTTGATGTCTTTCACCTTTGATGACTCTCAGCACTCTGTCCACGAGCTCATCTGTCACCTCACAGCCTTGGTTTCCTCCTTGGCAAACTGAGTGTGGCCTGGTGGTTAGGAGCCCAGCCCTGGGCTCAAGTCCCAGTTCCCCTGCTTGCTACTCTGCACTTTGGGTAAGAGAATTTACCTCTCTGAGCTTCAGTTTCCTCATCTATAAGAGACCTATAATACCTGCTCCCTAGTGTTTTTGTGTGGGTTCATGAGTCGTTACATGTGAAGGGCCAAGCACAGGGCCTGGCTATCATAAGCACTTGATGAATGGAAGTGGTTTTAGCTGGCACAAGGATGATGGTGGCCACTGATGCCAGGAGGACATCTCAGATGCTCCTCACGCTTTAGGGTATCTGAGCCCTTGCCCTGGCATGTGGAGTAGTTGGGTGTGAACCCTCAGATCCTTGCCTGGAGCAGAGGAAAGGGCAAGGGCTGAGCTTTTCCTCTGCTGGGCGCTCCTGGGTGGGATTTGAGAATGGGGTCCAGGGGACCTTGCAGGGGCTCAGCCCTACCCTCTTCTCCCTCTCCTCTCCTCCTCCAGACTGTGGTACAGAACTCCATGACCCGGTCCCAGGTCGCCCTGCTGGGCCTGGGCCTGCTGTTCATGCTGCTACTGTATGTGGGGCTGCCAGGACCCCCTGAGCAGACCTCCTGGCTCTGGGGAGACCCCAATGTCACAATCCTGGCTGGTCTCACCCCTGGCAGCTCCCCCATTTTTTACCGCGAGGTGCTCCCACTTTACCAGGCCCGCAGGTGGGTGCTGACCCCAGGGTGTAGTGGAAGGACTAGGCCCGCGGGGAGTCCCTGTGTGGGTTCCCCAGCTCAGCTCAAAGTGCTCAGGGCCTGGGAAGGCAGTGGGAGAAGCCTGGGAAGAAAGAACCCCCAGAACACACACTCCCCTGTGTGCCCACAGGGTGGATGTGGTGCTGCTCCATGGAAAGGCCTTTAACTCCCGGACATGGGAGCAGCTGGGCACACTGCAGCTGCTGGCACAGAGGGGCTACCGGGCCGTGGCCCTTGACCTCCCAGGTGAGAGCCCCCACCCCTGGGTCTAAGGAGGTAACGTGCAGCAGGGACATGGGGACAGCATGCCAGAGGGGAGAACTGGAGGGTTAGGAAAGCCCTAAGTTGTGGCTGGGGAGCATCTGGACCCCAGTGTCTGAACAAGCAGGGGCAAGTCACAACACAAAGTGTCAACACGAAAAGCTCTGTGTTTTTTATTTTCTACCTTGAAAACTACAGTGTGGATTGTTGCATGTCACAGAGCAGTTAGCAACATGACCTGCCTCACAAGCGATTGCATGGGGAGATCTCACTGTCCTTTTTATGACAAACTAGGTAGCTTTTTGTTTTTTCAGCTATACAAATGATTTTTGCTATTATTCTTGTCATTAAAAAATCAACCAAGAGTGATGCCCTCAGAGACCCATGCCATGTTTCTCTCCCTCTCACTTCTCTAAGCAGTTTGAGGGTGCCAGGCCCTCTTTGGGCATTTCCATGCCTAGAGATACAGGGTTGTTTGGTGGGGGCTGTAAACATGACTGGTGTCCTGCCAGCTTAGTGAATCTATCTGCAGCCTAGTTTTCTTCTCCTCTACCATGTCTCATGGGTCATGCCAGGCACTGTGACCCTCCCTCTCCATAGTGTGTGCCATCAGAGGGATGAACAGGTTTTATCTGGCCACTCCTCGACTGGTGGCTGTACATGTAGCCTGCTTTAGAGTTTTCAGTGTCAGTTGAAATGCTCAAGTAAGGAAGCTGAAGCATCTTTGGACATGCTTCTTTGAGCATGTGGGCAATCATTTCTGTAGGGTAGCCATCAAGGCCAGTTGATGGGTCAAAGGACACACACTTAAAGTTTTTTGACAAATATTATCTTACCCTCCAAAAATGCTGTGTGGATTTACCCTCCAGTCATGTACAAAAGTGTCCACATCTTCCTTAACACTGTGTATTATCAGTCTTTCTAGTTTTGCCAACATGATGAATGAAAGATGGTTTTCTAGCAGCCCTATCACAGTACAAAAATAACGTCTAGGAAGTTTGGGGTAGCAGATGCTATATGCCACTGCCCCCCATCTCTTTCCCTCACTCTGGTGGGCAGGAAGTCCTGACTTCCTTCCCAGCCTCCTTCAGCTGGTGCCTTCTGCTGTTCCCAGGTTTTGGGAACTCGGCACCTTCGAAGGAGGCAAGCACAGAGGCAGGGCGGGCACAGCTGTTGGAGCGAGTGCTGCAGGACCTAGAGGTGCAGAATGTCGTGCTGGTGAGCCCTTCACTGAGTGGCTGCTATGCCCTGCCCTTCCTGATGCAAGGCCACCACCAGCTGCATGGATTCGTGCCCATTGCACCTGCGTCCACCCAGAACTACACCCAAGAACAGTTCCAGGCCGTGAAGGTACTGGGAGGAGGGTCTCCAAAAGTCCTGGCTTCCTGTCCCTGGCTCGAGTCATAGGGGGAAAGGCCTCAGGTCTTACTTGGAGGACACATGGCCCCATCCTTGATCTGGATGGGAGAGATGGGGTGTATAGGGAAGATTTCCTAAGGAGGTGGCTTGAGGGCCAGTCCCCATCAGGCCCCAGGATCACAGCCCCTTGCCTTGCCCTGCAGACCCCGACTCTCATCCTGTATGGGGAGCTGGACCGCGTCCTGGCTTGGGAGTCACTGCGGCAGCTCCGCCACCTGCCTAACCACTCTGTGGTGAAGCTGCGCGATGCAGGCCATGCCTGCTACCTCCACAAACCACAAGACTTCCACCTCGTCCTTCTTGCCTTCCTTGACCATCTGCCTTGAGCTCACCCACTGTCCAGGCCCCAGGCCTGGCCTGAGCTTGGAGGATCTGGACCAGTCTCCACCAGGGAGGCAGCCCCTGGGGTTGGAGGGTAGAGGCCAGAGGGCCAGGCCCAGTCAGGACCTCTCATTTCATCTCAGAGGCACAATAAAAGAAAGCATTTTTGTTATGCCTAGGGAGTGACAGGTTCTGTTTCCTGGCATTGCTGCAGGTGGGGTTAGAGTTGGAGGCAAGTCTGGGACTGCTTTGGGACTGAGAGCTGGAGGGATTGCTCCAGCAGCCTGGGAAGGCTAAGGACATGCGCTACTTACTAGATGGCTGCTGAGTGGCTACTCTGACTCAGTTTCCTCATCTGTAAAATGGGCATGATGGTAACACCTAGCTCAGAAAGTGGTTTTAGGATTGAGTCTGGTTAAGCAGAGCACTTGGCCATACTGGGCTGGCGACGTGGGAGTGTCATGGAGAGGGGATGTTACTACTGCTGAATGACCACTGGGATTGGTGGGAAATCCAGGGTCTAGTGGCTGAGTTGAGTGAGTCAGGAATAGAGGACCTATGGCCGAAGGGAGCAAGATTTTTAAAGGTGGGGTGGAGAATGTGATTTAATAAGTGACACAGTATTGGGAAGAGGGAAATTTCCCCCTCTACCCCTCTTGAGTTCTTGGCTGGACTAACAATAAAATTGACACAAAACAGATTAATAGGAGAAAAAGAAATTTTAATCATGTGCAAGGAGGTCTCGTAGAAATGGGACCTAAGAAGTGGCCAGAGCAGGCAGCTTTTATACTTTTTAGACAAAGAATAAATTTGTGAGGACTTGACAGGACAAAGAAGCATATTTTGGCTGCTCAATTAGTAAAGAATCTAAACAGAGTGAGCTTGAGGGTAGTAAATTAAAGAATTAACAAGGTTTGTTTATACAGGCTTCTCAGCCTGAATTCCCTATCTCCGGAAATCAGAGTGTCCTACCTCCAGATGCAGGGAGTGTACCTTTTGTATAGAGATTTATTGTTATCAGGGAGACAGAAAGGAGAGTCAGAATGTCTCTCTTGCATTGGACATTTCTCAAGTGACTTTAATTCAAAATAATCAACATGCCACTGAGGCACAATTTGGGATGGCCTGCCCTGGGCCCCAACAATAGCATTGTTGGTGAACCACCAAGCCTGCTTGCCCCTGGGAATCTGTGGGTCAGCAGTCTGACTTAAACCTCACGAGGGTTGGATGGACCCTACCCTACCCTGCCAGCCTGCTTCCTCTGTGCCCAGAGGTTGAAGTCTTCAACCCCACCCCTCCCCAAGCTGATTCAGCCCCTGGAACTGAGGGCAGAACTGGCTGAGAGTACAAAGGACAGCCGGACGCACAAATGGGCAGCTACAACTGTGTGCAGCCTGTGGGTGGCCAGTGGGACACCCGTGCCTCTTTATCTTCCTTCTCCAGTGGCTGCAGAAGAGCCAGGGAGCCTGGCACAGGGTCAGCCAAGAAGGTGCCACACGTATGCTTTTGTGCAGTTTCCCACCTCTCATTCTGTCATACAGCGTCACGATTACATCCTCTCATCGTGCCATCCTCTGTCACACCCAACCACCATCTCACATTGTCATACACACAGTCACCCACTGATACACAGATTTGCCTACACAGTGGTGCGATCACACATGCGCCCATCCGTTCATTTATCCTTTATTCCTGGCACGCTGTCCGTCTGTTCTGTCCCCTGCCAGGGACAGAATCCTGCGGGTACATGGACCAGCATCTTGGAGCTCACAGATAATTAACCAATAACCTCTCCACACAGGGAGCATTGAGGCAGTCAGGGAGGCCGCCCCTGAGGAGCTGAGGCGTGAGGAGGGGAGAAGTCCAAAACTCGCGGTAGGGGGTGGTGGAGCAGGCCGGGGCCAGACCCAACAGGACTTTTCAAAGCTGTACTCTGAGAGCGAGGGGGCGCTCAAGGGGGCAGCTGCGAAGTTTCCGGTCAGTGCCCGCCTTCCTCCCTTCTGGCCCAATCGGGAGGTTGCGGGAGGTGGGGCCCGCTGCCCAGGGCCAAGGGCGGGGCCTGCGGGGGCGGGGCCAGCCTGTAGCTCGCTGTCGGCTGCAGGGCGGAGCCGGCGGCGGAGGCAGCTGCCCCGGGGTGGGCCCCTGAATCCCGGCCTCATGTAAGTGGCGGAGGCTGGAACCACTGGCTGGCGGAGACGCCCACGCTCACTGGGCCTTAGAGATTGGGACGGCCCTGATTCGCAGTCTTCGGTCCCGCCCTGCGAGGTCCGGCCACGTGGTGGGCGGACCGCGGCAGTTCTGATCCGGAGACCTCGCAGGACCTGGAGTCCCGCCCACAGTCCAGGGCGAGAGGGGAGCGCGGGCCCAAGACCAGCAGAGAGTGAGGTGGGGGGCCGTGGAGAGGGGTAGAGGGATCTGGGGCTCCCTGACATGAAATCCGGGCAACTGGGAGAATTTTTTTGAGGAGGGCGGGGGGGAGTCAATGTCTGGTTTCAAATGTGGCTCAGCTACTTTCTAGGTGTCTCTGAATCTGTCTTAGTTTTTTCCTCTGTAATGTGGGCTTTCAGAGGCACGAACTTCATGGGGTTCCTTGGGGGATTAAATAAGGAAATGTGTTGAAAGTGGCCAGCACAGCGCCTGAAACAGAATGGGGCCTTTGTAACTGGGGGCTCCGAAACAAGGTATTCTCTCCCTGCGGGGCGGCCGGGGAACCGCCCTGGGGAGGGACTGCGTGTAAATGGAGCCCACCAGCCCCAGCGGCGGGGAGGGGTAGGTAGCCACTCGCTTTGCCCCTAGCTCACCACGGCAGGGCAGCGCCATGGCCAGCAAGCGTCGTGAAGGCGAGCACCCATCCGTGACGCTCTTCCGTCAGTACCTGCGCATCCGCACCGTCCAACCCGAGCCCGACTACGGTGAGAACGCGGCGGTTCCAGGAGGACCTGTGGTGGGGCATCAGGGGCGGGGACTGTGCTCTAAACCAGGCGCCAACCCGTCACCCAGCTGAGCCTAATCTGCCTCAAATGGCGCCTCCATTCCTCTAAGCCGTTCCCTAGGTCAGCAGACAGCTCAGCATCCCCTCCAGGCTGTGCTGCTCCAAAAGTTACAACTGGTAGTTAAATAGGGAACAACTTCACCTTACTCTCCAGCACTTGGGGTTGGGGAAGGGAAGAAGAGGCCCCCGGAAGCCTACTGGGGCTGAACAAAGGCCACAGACCTTCGGGGAATCAGGCTTGGTGGCTGGGAACTGTGTACTGGGGTCCAATCCAAATCCCTGCTCTGTGATTTACCAGCTGGGAAACAGTGGGTGAGCCTTATGTCTCCGCGCCAGTTTCCCTATCATTAAGGAAGGTAACAATGACACCTGCTTCTCACTCTGGACTTCCCACCTGGCCTTCTACAAAGGGTCACTGGCCAAAAATGTCTTCTTTCTTGGGGACAGCGATGCAGATGTCTCTGACGGATGTGGAATTGTGTTGAGGCAGGGGTCTGCTCCCTTCTCTGGATGTACCCCCATCTCTGCCTGGGCCCGTGGGAGGTGTGGGGAGGCAGAAGCAGCAGCAAGGCTGTCTGTGTTCCCAGGGGCTGCCGTGGCCTTCCTTGAGGAGAGAGCCTGCCAACTGGGCCTGGGCTGTCAGAAAGTGGAGGTGAGCCTGTGGCCCAGCATGGGTAGGGGAGGTGGGCCTGGGGCAGCTCCTCACCGTGCACTGACAACCCCTCCTCCTGGCCCTCTCCAGGTGGCACCTGGCCGTGTGGTGACTGTGCTGACCTGGCCAGGCACCAACCCCAGACTCTCTTCCCTCTTGCTCAACTCCCACACCGATGTGGTGCCTGTCTTCAAGGTGCGGGGGGTGTAGGGAGTGGAACACCCTTGGGGACAAAGATGGTACAGATCCCCCATTCGACTGCAGGGATCCCACGATGCTGGTCCTGGCACTGATTCAACCTCATAGAGCATTACTCCACTCAATCAAGCAACCTCTGCCCAGTAGCCATTCCATGCCAGGGGTGGGGTATGCCAGAGGCAGGGTTGGTGGTGGGAGGCAGAGATGAGGGATGGCTGTCAGCTGCCCTCTTCAGCCCTACGTGGGCTCCTAGGGCACCTGCTCCCTGGGCAGGGCCACAGTTGAGCAGAGTGGATTAACGACTACATTTGGTGCTTGGGTCCCTCTTCCTGCCCCTGCCCCCAGGAACATTGGAGTCATGATCCCTTTGAAGCCTTCAAGGATGCTGACGGCTACATCTATGGCAGGGGCGCCCAGGACATGAAGTGTGTCAGCATCCAGTGAGTGTCCTTCATTCCCAGTTTCCCCACTGGCCCGTTGGATTGACCCAGGACCCAGGTGTGATTGGAGAACATCAAGGCCAAGGAACATCTTGACCCCTTACCTTGGGCGGGAATTCCCGCTATGACCATTGCATGGATGGGGAGACAGGGACAGAGACTTTCTGGAGTCACCTGCTAGGCCGTGGCAGAGCACGGCCCAAGGCTGCAGCCTGCCTGCTCTGATGGCTCCCCGCCAGCACCTGGCTTACACCCTCTTACTGCCCCTCAGGTACCTGGAGGCTGTGAGGAGGCTGAAGGTTGAGGGCCACCATTTCCCCAGAACCATCCACATGACCTTTGTGCCAGGTAGGAGTGACTCGAGGAGGGGCACCTTCAGGGGTGGGGAGAGTGTTGGGGCACCCCCTATCTCACATTCCTGCTTCTTTTACAGATGAGGAGATTGGGGGTCACCAAGGCATGGAGCTGTTTGTGAAGCGGCCCGAGTTCCAGGCCCTGAGGGCTGGCTTCGCCCTGGATGAGGGTGAGCAGGGTGGCAGGACACTGACTGGTCAGCAGGGGATAGGGAGGCTGCTAGTGGGGGCTGGGCCGCTCCACCCTCTCAGGCCTGGCCAACCTTTTCCTCCTCAGGCCTGGCCAACCCCACTGACGCCTTCACTGTCTTTTACAGTGAGCGGAGCCCCTGGTGTGAGTATGCACTTGGACGTTGGGGGTCACTGTGCAGATGGGAGACTGGGCCAGAAGGGGCAGGGGCCCGCCAAGGGTTCCACAGCAAGTTGGGGCCTGAGTAGGCCTTGAACCCAGGGCCTTTGCCTCCCAGCCCCTTCCTACCTGGGCATCTCTTTCCTGAGCTGCTGAAAGGAGGCCCTAACCATGGGCAGAAACCAGCTCTACACTGTGCATTCTGAGGCGGGCAGAGACCTGGCAGAGGAGCCTGGAATGAGGGGAAGACCCCGGGCCCATCCCAGGGCTGGTTGCTTTTCCAGCCTCTCCCATACTGAAGACACCCCCTTCCCCCTGCGTCTCTCAGGGGTGCAGGTCACAAGCACTGGGAAGCCAGGCCACGGCTCACGATTCATTGAGGACACGGCAGCAGAGAAGCTGGTGTGTGGCATACGGGGAGGGAGTTTGGGAGTTCCCGAGGCTGTCCTGGGACCACTCTCACATCTAACCTCACTCTCCTAGCACAAGGTTGTGAGCTCTATCCTGGCTTTTCGGGAGAAGGAGAGGCAGAGGTGAGGCAGCCTGGGAAAGGGCACGGGGCTCTGGGAGGCTACGCAGGAGAGGAGGGGGGCTGAGCCCCCTTTTTATCTGTTCTTCCCCCTTGCTGCTGCTGCCCCTGCCCCCGCCCACAGGCTGCAGTCAGACCCTCAGCTGAAGCAGGGGGCCGTAACCTCCGTGAACCTGACTAAGCTAGAGGGTGGTGTAGCCTATAATGTGGTACCTGCCACTATGAGCGCCAGCTTTGACTTCCGCGTGGCACCAGATGTGGACCTGAAGGTGCCATCTCCACCTGGGTTTGGAGGAGGGAGCCTGGGTCCTCAGCCCTGTCCTAGAGGCTCAGGGAGAGCCTGAGGGGTCAGCTCATCTCCCTTCTCACAGGCTTTCGAGGAGCAGCTACAGGCCTGGTGCCAGGCAGCTGGCGAAGGGGTCACCTTCGACTTTGCTCAGGTGTGGACTGGGGAACCTACAACAGGGGAGTTGTAGGAGCTGGGGAGGCTGGGCTTGCTGCATGTATCACTGCAGGAGTGTACGTTTGGTGTGCCTGCATACATCCTGGCTTTAGCTGTGAGAGACATGTTTTGTTCACCAACAAGTGTTAGTTGTGTAGGCCACTGTTGGGTGCTGGGGAATACTAGGGAGTGAAATTAGACAAGTTTTTGCCCTCATAGTCTTTACACAATGAAGGGAGGAATAGACATGAATCAAAAAATTACGTATTACTTTTATGTAAGTGTGAACACATGTGGTCCAGGAAAGGGTGGGACCTCATAACTGTGAATCTGTAACTGGAGTATTTGACCAGTCTGAGGGGTCTGGGAGTGCCATCTTGAGGAAGGGGCACTTAGGAATGATCTGAGGATGGACAGGAAGTGGAGGGCACAGAAGGTCCCAGACCTGTGACCTTTGAGAGACTGAAAGAGGGCCTGTTGCTGGACTGGCCAGCTGGATGTCTGGGTAGGTGGGTGTGTGCCCCGTGCCAGGCACAGCCTACCCTATGAAGAATAGGGCAAGACGCCAGGCCTTGTCCTGATCCTGCCATCCTTCTCCCCACAGAAATGGACAGAGCCCCGAGTGACATCTACTGATGATTCAGACCCCTGGTGGGCAGCTTTTAGTGGGGTCTGCAAGGACATGTGAGCACACCGGCCAGCCCCCCTCTCCCCTTCCCTCCCTCCCACCTTCCTTTGCTCCTTCAACCCTTCCCTTGCCCTCTCCCCTCTCTGCTTCCACATTCATTCACCAGGTTCTTCCCTCTACAGGAACCTCACCCTGGAGCCGGAGATCTTCCCCGCTGCCACAGACAGCCGCTATCTTCGCGCGGTGAGCTGCTTGCAGTAGGGTGGGCAGTGGAATGGTCCTGGGTGCTGGCCTTCCCCCTAACGGCTCCTGTTGCCCCCTGCAGGTGGGGGTCCCAGCTCTGGGCTTCTCACCCATGAACCACACACCCGTGCTGCTCCACGACCACGATGAACGGCTGCACGAGGCCATGTTCCTCCGCGGGATCGACATATACACTCGGCTGCTGCCTGCCCTGGCCAGCGTGCCCACCCTGCCCAGCGAAAGCTGAGCCCCGCGCTCTCCAACCTCCACCCCAATCAGTGCCAAGGACCTTTCTTCCCCCCTGCCCAACAATAAAGTCTGTGTGGACAGGGGCCACTTCTGAAGTACTAACAGCAAGGATGTTCACGGAGCAGGCTTTCAAAGATAATAGTAACACCTACTTCAGAGATGAGGGATCATACACCATGGGTCCCACCTGTTGCCCCAGCATAACGACAACTCTTTGAGCATCCCCAGTGCCCAAAGTTGGACTACAGATGAAGATCTAGTGTGACCAGGAACAGTGCTTCATTGGCTGTTCTGAGGGCTAAGACTGCTGGTGAAGCACCTGATCCAGGGGGCAAAGAATACAGCACAGTCATGCAAGTAAGGCAGTGCCACCATTGCTTGGCCTCCCAGGAGCCCTAGAACTTGGGGGACTGTACAACTCAGAGCAGTGAATGCTGGCCAGGCACGCTAGGAACCTAGAACTCCCCAGGCCAGAGTGCAGAATTCTTCTGGGTGCTCCCTTTTCTTCTGGGTAAGCTTTAAGACCTGACAGGGATGTTTGGGGTTTTTCTCTGTCCTCACCAGCCTGCCCAGTCCAGCAAGCTATGTGCCCCAGTGTCCCTAAGGCACCGAACCACTCCTCATTTACTAAGTCCCCTTCTGGCACTCCAAGGCCCTATTTCCCCTGACTCCCACCCACACCCTGCCATCCAAGGAAGGCTAAACTCTTTTCCCACACAAAATGTAGGTACCGACCCCACGTGACTGAAAGATCCTGCCTCAGGTTTATTTGTACAAATAGCACAGGAGGACACCAGCCCCATGCAGACAGCAGCCCAGGGGTCACACCAGTCCTTCTGTCCTCACGTTGGCAGACAAAGGCTCTACTCTGGAGCCTTTGTGGGGGCCTGGGCACCTTTGGGAGCGGGAGCGGGAGCGGGAGCTGGAGCTGGAGCGGGAGCTGGAGCCACAGCCGGAGCCGCAGCTGCACCTGCAGCCTTCGCCTTGGTTTGAGCCTTGGCCTGGGACTTTGGCCGGCAGAGCCTGAGACCCTTGGCGATGCGGGCACGAGCACGTTTCCCGAGCCTGGGGTGAGCAATGTAGGCAAGTCGACTGAGCTTGCGGCTGCCGCCCGTTGGGATCCTGGGCTTGACCTCCTTGGGCTTTACAAGAGTCTTGATAGCCTCAGCACGTGCAGTTACGGCCTTGGCGTTGTTGGCCTGCATCTTCTTCAGGCCCCTCTTGTTGTGCTTCTTGGCAAAACGCATGTTCCTCAGGAACTTGGGGTCCACCTGGAAGACAAAAAATGTACAGGTGGCTGTTAAGTGCAGCATGTAGGGGCCCCCAAGTCACCCATGGTGCCCCTCTCCACAGCAGCACCCACGAGACTATCAGTCGCCAGCCGAGGCCTGCTGGGAGCTGAGACAGCATCAAGTCAACCTTAAATGCAGAAATATCTGGCCCTTAGAGCCCAATAGAGCTCAGAAAGGAAGAACAAATTCCTACAGCAGGATTTTGGTTGAGTTTTTCCTGAAACCCCCTCACGGACACCCCACCCCCTCACCCTTAAAAGGTGCCAAATACTAAGGTTAGTACAACAGATTCACAGCAAACAAGGCAGAATAAGGACCAACGGAGGGAAGGGAAGGGGGCGGGGAGAGACCAACAGTACAGTGGAGTAGCAAAGTGGAGACAAGACTCAGTTGTGCTCAGACCCTACAGCCTCAGCCTTCTTGGCTAATCCTTAGAACTCCCTAGCACAGGAAGGGAAGCTGCCCCCTCCATGCCTAGTACTGCATCAGATCAAGGTCATATGGGTGGTCAAAGTGGAATGGAAGGCTCACAAGGTACTGGGTACACAGGCAAGACCACCCCTTCCCTTGAAAAGCTCTGAGTGAGCAAGGGAGATGATCAGACAAACTGCTCTCAGGAGGCAGGTTACAACTCGGGCCAGTAAAAGCCAAGTAAAGCTTTATTACAGGTCTGGCACAGCATAAAGTCCAGGCAAAACGAAGGACAGTTAAGCTACGTGAAAGACCCTGACCACGCAACTGGAGCCAAACACACACTTTTTTCTGATTCGGCGCACACACTCACCCCCTTAAGAGATTCATATCGTTGTGATCGGGGTTTCTTGATGCCATTTCTGTGCCATTTTCGGGCTGTGGGGAAAAAAGGAATTAGACCAAAAAAGAGATTTCCTCTAATAAGACCACCATCACAGCTGCAAGCCCGGGAGAACCATAATTTCTCCTTACTTGGGATCCGTCTAAGAAACCCCTTACCACTGAATGCAAAGCACTGTGGGTTATCCCAAGCGGATCCCTGGCTTCTAAATCTACAGCCCCATAGGTAATGCTGGCTGAAAGTAAAATCAGCCCCAGGCCCACTGTAGGAATGTGCCTCCTTTCCCTGACCAGTATCCCTAATCTTTGCCAGGGTCTGGGGCATTAGATGAAGGCTGGGCCAGGGGAACTTACACTGGTTGTGCGTGGTGTGGTTCTTGGACTTGGCCATGTCTGCAACTGGAGGACGAGAGTGGAGATCAGAGCTCGCGGGGCCGGGCCTACCTCTTCGCCTTGATCTAGAAGAACGTTAGGCCAGAAGCCTGAATGAGGCTTCAGCACAGATGCCTTGCATTTGCGCCCTCCACCAGCCCGGATTCATTCTGCACGACCCAACGCCAGTCTCCCCTTCCCAAACTCAGGTAATGGTGCCTCGAAACTACCCCCCCAGCCGCAAGGCTGCGCTCTCCCCCCAAATCCGAATTCTCCCCCTCCCAACCATCCATTGAGAACCCACGAGCAACGTCCCCGCCCCGCGGCTTCCGCTCCCCACAGCCAGGCAGCCGGTCTCCCCGTCCTCCCTAAGGCCACGCGCCCCGCCGCCGTCCGGGAGTCACGGATGGCTCCGGATACCGCGCGGCTAGCACTCACCGGGGCCCGCAGATCCCGAAACGCCTGGGACCGGAAGAGGAAGAGGAACGCCGTGGTGCAGCACGGGAAATAGGCTTGTCGCGGCAGGAAGGGACTACTGGAAAAGCTTCCCCCAGCGCCTTGAAGATAGGTTCCTAAGCCCGGAGGACACAAGCCAGATGGGAAGGTGGTGCTACGGGCCTGGCCTCGCTCCTTCAGGTTTACCGACCCCTCTCGTTTTTCCTCATATTCCTCCTGACTTGGGTCCCAGGTCTCATTAAAGGTCTTGAAGGCGAAGGGAGTCATTGAGGAATACATGTTAGGCAGGGGGTAACAGGAGATTCGTGTTCCTAAAAAAGTATTTCTGGCTACCGCGCGGAAAATGGACTGTAGCGGGCAGAGGAGGGAGAGCCGTCAGGAGTCTGGTGCAGGATGGGACAGGATGGTGCCTGGAGCTGAGTCGGGGCACGGGGGATGGTTAGGAGTGGGTAAGGAAAGAGGGTAGACTGGGCTTGGGACGCAGAAGATTGGGGAGAGCAAGAAGGCCTGTGTAGCCCCTAAGTTTTTGGCTTGAACAAGTGCGTGAAGATGGTGCTTTTTACAGAAATGGGGAAGATTGGGGGAGGGACAGGGGTCTTCTTGCTTTATTTTGAGGGGGCCAGTGATCCAGATGTTTCTTTTTATTTTTTTAAGATTTTTTTTTTGATGTGGACCATTTTTAAGGTCTTTATTGAATTTGTTACAATATCTTTTATGTTTTGGTTATTTGGTCACAAGGCATGGTGGGATCTTAGCTCCCCCACCAGGGATGGAACCTGCACCCGCCTCCAGGCCCCCACCCCCCCCACATGGGAAGGCGAAGTCTTAACATCAGGGAAGTCTCCAGATGTTTCTTTTTAGATGCATTAAATGTGATATGCCTGTTGTCATCCAAAATAAGTAAATGTTGCCTCCTAATAACTCTATTGCCTTCCCCACCTCTTACCCCTATAGTTCATTTCCACACAACAGTGGGGCCTGAGGGCACTTTTTAAGAACAAATCAGATCTTGTCACTTAAAGTCTGCAAGGACTTCACCTTGCATTAGAGATAAACTCTTTACCTCCCCTAATCTTGGCAATGCTTTCCTCATCATTCACTTTTCTCCACACCCATGGACTTCTTTCTTTCCTGCCAAGCAGGAATACCTGTTCCTGCTTCAGGGCCTTTACACTTGCTATCCCCTCCACCTGTACCACGTTTTCCCTGCTCTTTGGATAGCGTGCTTGCTTGGAGAAGCCTCCCTGGCCTACCCTATCTAAAACAGAGACCCTCTGCCCCATCTCCCCAGTTACTCTGCATCTTCTCATCCTGTTTGCTTCCTTCACAGAACTTTTCCACACTCTACGTTTTCTATTTACTTGTATATGTGTTCATTGGTTCAAGCACCAAGAGTTCAGAACTGGTTTGGTCACCTTCATTTTCCCATTGCCTGACACAGCACTTGATGTAGAACAGGAACTTGAGAAACACCTACTGAATGGACGTTCCTTGGCAGGCAGGTTCATGGACTGACCGAAGCATTTTGCAGAGAGTTGGGGAGTGAAAGGGAAAGGAGGATGTGGAGGCAGGACACACAGGTGACTCCTTACTGAAGCATTCCTGAGGAGAGGGAGAGAAATCTGGCAGGTGTGAGTTAGGAGAATCAAGAGCAGGCTCAGATGCTCAAGGGGTAACCTAGTGCCAACAGAGAAACAATTGAACACGGGTTCGTGCCCCGGTCCGGGAGGTTCCCACATGCCGCGGAGCGGCTGGGCCCGTGAGCCATGGCCACTGGGCCTGCGCGTCCGGAGCCTGTGCTCCGCAACGGGAGAGGCCACAGCAGTGAGAGGCCCGCGTACCGCAGAAAAAAAAAAAAAAAAGAAACAATTGAGGCCAGAAAGGTGCCTCTGCAGGAGCAGAGTCCTTGAGGGGTGCTGAGAACAGGTGGAGGAGCTAGTAGGCAGAGGTGGGGACTGTAGGAGGTGGGCGTGGCACGAGGCCCTAGGGTATATGGGAGAGGTGGCGCTGGAAGTTTGGACAAAGAGGAGAAGGCTTTTTGTTCTGGGGTTTTTTTTTTGGCCATGCCACATGGCTTGTGGGATCTTAGTTCCGTGATCAGGGATTGAACCCACACCCTCGGCAGTGAAAGCGCAGAGTCCTAACCACTAGACCACCAGAGAATTCCCAGGGGAGAAGGTTTGACTGCCACACCTTGAGAAAAGGAAGCAAATGTTAGGGGTCGGCAAAAAAGGCTGTGACAGCTTTAAAGGAACCAGGCTGCCCCATTGTGTGGCCTTCCAACTAAGCAGTAGCTCTCACAGATCCTAAAAAGTGAGCAATGACATGTGCTGAGGACTTGGTGTTACTAGGTTGTTTCGACAGTGGCAGAGTAAGCAACGAGCAGAGAGCCATAGTCCGACAGGGAGGCAGATTCAGAGATGATGGCCATGCAGCACTGTTGGAGCTGCTATAGGGATAGGCCCAGGGTGAAATCCCAGCTGTCAGGCAAGGGAGGAGGCAGTGACAAGAATGAGGAGCTTTGGCTGTGACCTGAGGGGACCATTTGGGGGGCTAAAGGGAACCATGATCTGGAGCCATTGGCCTGCTATGCTTTTCATTTTTTTCTTCTTTTAATTAATTAATTTGTTTATTTATTTATTTTTGGCTGCGTTGGGTCTTCGTTGCTGCGCACGGGCTTTCCCTAGTTGTGGCGAGCAGGGGCTACTCTTCGTTTCAGTGTGTGGGCTTCTCAGGACTTCTCATTGCGGTGGCTTCTCTTGTTGTGGAGCACGGGTTCTAGGCGTGCGGGTTTCAGTAGTTGTGGCTCGTGGGCTCTAGAGCGCAGGCTCAGCAGTTGTGGTGCACGGGCTTAGTTGCCCCGTGGCATGTGGGATCTTCCTGGACCAGGGCTCGAACCCATGTCCCCTGCATTGGCAGGCGGATTCTTAACCACTGAGGCACCAGGGAAAGATGGTAGGGCCAGCCATATGTATAAAGAGATAGTTTTCCTACTTTCCTTCCTTTCTTTCTCTCTCCTTCTGTCCTTTCTCCCTTCCTTTCTTCCTTCCTCCTTCTTTCTTCCTCCCTTCCTTCCTTTCTTCCTCTATTTCTCTCTTTCTTTCTTCCTTCCCTCTCCTCTCTCCTCCTCCTTTTCACTCTCTCTTGCTCCTCTTCCAGTCTCTCTCTCTTTTTCTCTTCATAAATGTGTAAAGAGCTTATACAAGCTCTTCTGTAACTTGATTTTATTCATTCAGTAGTAACTCATGGACATCTTTCCCTTTTCATAAAAATCTTTTGTAATCCTATTTTATTTTACACATTTAAAAATCGTATTCTGAGGAGATGTCAGTAAACATCACCAGATGTCAAAGGAGTTTCTAACACAAAAAAGGTAAAGAACTTAGCCCTTCCTCCAGGGCTTCCTCCAGCCCTTCCTCCTCACTCTCTGTGTGTCAGCAGTTCTTGCCCCATCTCTGTCTCTGCAGAGGCCTGGGTCCACTTGCTGACCTCTGTGGCATAGCCTTGGGCAGAACTACTACCTGGACTCAGCAGAATGTCTATCACCCAGGCCCCTTGTAAACGCCTTGGGCATAAGACACAGAGAGATGTGAGGCCTCGGTGACCAGACAGACCTTGGACTTGGCAGGGCTGGATGTGATCCGCCTGAGCCATGTGGCCTGCAGTGGTATTGCCTTGTCCAGGCCTTGTCTAGAGCTACAGCCCAACTCACAGCTCGAGTAGGATCCACTGGGGCTTACTCATTGAAATTATAGGGTCAGAGATATCTGGGGTGATTTTTTTCTGTGCCTGGCACAGTGCCAAGTACATGTGGGGACCTGATAAATGTTTGAGGAATTAAATGTACGTACTTCACCAATCCAGGCAGATGGCAGAATCAGGAGGCAAGAGGTCAGTTGGCCTGGAGGGATTTCACAGAGACAAAAGTCAGCTTTTCTACTTGGTCCAGATCTCTGCTCTCTAAGCCTCAGTTCTGAGTGTAACCTGCAGATGAAAATAGTAATTGTCTTGTGGGGTTAAACCGGATAATTTTTTTAAAATTGAAGTATAATTGATTTACAATCTTGCATTAATTTCTCATGTACAGCAAAGTGATTCATGTATATATATTCTTTTTCATATTCTTCATATGGTTAATTACAGGAAATTGAATATAGTTCCCTGTGCTATATAGTAGAACCCTGTTGTTTATCTATTTTATATATAGTAGTTTGTATCTGCTAATCCCAAACTCCTAATTTATCCCTCCCCCATCCTTTCCCTTTGGTAACCATAAGTTTGCTTTCTGTGTCTGTGAGTCTGTTTCTGTTTCATAAATAAGCTCATTTGTGTCATATTTTAGATTTCACATATAAGTGATATCATAGGGGATTTCTCTTTATGACTTGCTTCACTTAGGATGATAACCTCTAGGTCCATCTATATTGCTGCAAATTGCATTATTTCATTCGTTTTATGGCTGAGTAGTATTCCACTGTGTGTATTCCATATATATGCGCACACACACACACACGCACGCACGCGCACGCACACACGCACACACACACACCACATCTTCTTCATCCATTCATCTGTCAATGGACATTTAGGTTGCTTCCATGTCTTAGCTATTGTAAATAGTGCTGCTATGAACACTGGGGTGCATGTATCTTTTTGAATTAGAGTTTTCTCCAGATATATGCCCAGGAGTAGGATTGCTGGGTCATATGGTAACTATATTTTTCGTTTTTTAAGGAACCTCCCTACTGTTTTCCATAGTGGCTGCACCAATTTACATTCCCGCCAACAGTGCAGAAGTGTTCATTTTTCTCCACATCCTTTCCCGCATTTATTATTTGTAGACTTTTTTTTTTTTTTGTAGACTTTTTGGTGATGGCCATTCTGACCAGTGTGAGGTGATACCTCATGGTTTTGATTTGCATTTCTCTAATAATTGGCAATGTTGAGCATCTTTTCATGTGCCTGTTGGCATCTGTATGTCTCTTTTGGAGAAATGTCTATTTAGGTCTTCTGCCCCTTTTTTTTTTTTTTTTTTTCCGGTACGCGGGCCTCTCACTGTTGGGGCGTCTCCCGTTGCGGAGCACGGACTCCGGACGCGCAGGCTCAGCGGCAATGGCTCACGGACCCAGCTGCTCCGCGGCATGTGGGATCTTCCCAGACCGGGGCACGAACCCGTGTCCCCTGCATCGGCAGGCGGACTCTCAACCACTGCGCCACCAGGGAAGCCCCTTCGGACCATTTTTGATTGGGTTGTTTTGTTTTGCTTTGTTTGATATTGAGTTGTATGAACTGTGTGTATATTTTGGAAATTAATCCCTTGTCAGTTGCATTGTTTGCAAATATTTTCTCCCAATCCGTAGGTTGTCTTTTCATTTTGTTTATGGTTTCCTTTGCTGTGCAAAAGTTTATGTTTGATTAGGTCCCATTTGTTTACTTTTGCTTTTATTGCTATTGCCTTGGGAGACCGACCTAATGAAACATTGCTGCAATTTACGTCAGAGAATATTTTGCCTATGTTCCTTTCTAGGAGTTTTATAGTATCATGTTTTATATTTAAGCCTTTAAGCCATTTGGAGTTTATTTTTGTGTATAGTATGAGGGTGTGTTCTAACTTCATTCATTTACATGGGGTGTCCCACTTTCCCACCACCACTTGCTGAAGAGACTGTCTTTTCTCCATCGCATATTCTTGCCTCCTTTGTTGAAGATTAATTGATCATAGGTGTATGGGTTTATTTCTGGGCACTCTATTTGTTCCATTGATCCATATATCTGTTTTTGTGCTGATATCACTCTGTTTTGATTACTGTAGCTTTGTAGTATTGTCTGAGGTCTGGAAGGGTTTTGCCTTCAGCTTTGTTCTCTTTCCTCAGGATTGCTTTGGCAATTCTCAGTGTTGTATGATTCCATGTACATTTTAGGATTATTTGTTCTTGTTCTGTGGAAAATGGCATGGGAAATATGATAGGGATCACATTAAATCTGTAGATTGCTTTGGGTAGTGTGGCTGCTTTAACAATATTAATTTCTCCAATCCAAGAGCATGGGATATCTCTCCATTTCTTTGAATCATCTTCAGTTTCCTTTATCAGGTAAACCGGATAATTTGAGTAAAGCACTGAACACTGTGCTGGGTATATATTAGGTGTTCAGTCATTGTTCTTCCCAGCCATGCTGTTCCCCACAACGGCTCTGGGGAGGCAGAAATGGCTTAGGGGAAATGTCAGTATCAAGTGAATGCTAAAAATGAGCACAGGGGGCTTCCCTGGTGGCGCAGTGGTTGGGAGTCCACCTGCCGATGCAGGGGACACGGGTTCGTGCCCTGGTCTGGGAGGATCCCACATGCCGCGGAGCAGCTGGGCCCATGGGCCATGGCCGCTGGGCCTGCGTGTCCGGAGCCTGTGCTCTGCGTCGGGAGAGGCCACGGCAGTGAGAGGCCCGTGTACCGCAAAAAAAAAAAAAATGAGCACAGGATCCAAAGAAGGGCCAGGATGGAAGGACATGACAGTCCTTAGGGGTGCTGGGGTCCCCTCAGTCCTGAAGTTCCAGAGGACAGGGACTACCAGTGTGCCCAGATAGGAGCAACCAGAGTGGCTTATCAGAAGCAGGATGTTTTACCTGTGGGAAAGAAGACTGGGGGTCAGAGAGGAGGCCCCTAAGCACCGGGTTAAGCTTTGGATCTGCTTAGAAATTCCTGTGAGAGGCCACTTGGTTCTTGTGGCCCCAGAGGGCAGAGCTATGATTGAGGGAGGCAAATACCATGGGCAAGGGTCATTTTTGCAGTCAGATTTTCTTCCAAACCATGGGCTGCTCCCAGAGGTAGTAAGCTCTCAGATACGAGGAATTCCTGGGGATGGAGGTTGAAATATGGGATGGAGGGTTGGAAAATACAACTCTCAAGTTCACTTTCCTCCAAAAGTCTGGGATTCGTAGCTCCTGGGAGAAGGAAAGGTGGTGGGCAGCTTGCAGTGCCAGGCTGGGGTCCAGGATCTGTCGGGAAGAGAGAAGACAGGTCCCGCAGAGGCTTGGGGGTGCAGCGCATTCCTCCAGTCACTGGGGACACCTTCATAGCCCCAGGCCACTGATTTTCCCTCTGGGGGGCTCCTCGCCCAGAAGTGATGTGTCTTCACTGGGGAATGTGAGCCTGTCTTCCACATGGGGGCAGCACAGGACTGCAGATGGAGTGGGGCCACCGCAGGCCACCTGGAGCTCCCCTCCTTTGGGAAGAAGTCCTTTGAGCCTCCCAGACCTCTCACACCCCTGCTTCTGGCATCCATTCCCCACCCCCCCACAAGCCCCTGTCTGCCCATTCTTGACAGGTTCTCTGGGTAGGTTGTCTCCCCTGGCTTCAAGCTCCTGGTAGTGGTGGTATAGGGTGTCTTTCCCCAGAGAGGGAACAGGGCAGAGAAAGTGGAGCCTGTGGGTATCCCTGGGCACAGCCCCTGCTGGTCCACATCAGAGTTACTAGAGGCTATGTCTGTTTGGGGTTAAAGGAACGGGTTTGTTTTTTTTTAATTAATTTATTTAATTTGGTTTTTTTTGGCTGTGTTGGGTCTTCATTGCTGCACACAGGCTTTCTCCAGTTGCGGCGAGCGGGGGCTACTCTGCATTGTGGTGTGCGGGCTTCTCATTGCGGTGGCTTCTCTTGTTGTAGAGCATGGACTTCAGAGTGCAGGCTCAGTAGTTGTGGTGCACGGGCTCTAGAGCGCAGGCTCAATAGTTGTGGCACACGGGCTTAGTTGTTCCGCAGCATGTGGGATCTTCCCGGACAAGGGATCGAACCCATGTCCCCTGCATTCTTAACCACTGCGCCACCAGGGAAGCCCAAGGAATGGGTTTTGACATCAGACTGACTCGGATTCAAATTCCTTCCTCCTTCCCTCCCTCTCTCCCTTCCTCCCTCCCTCCCTCCCTCCCTGCCTCCCTGCATCGGGTCTTAGTTGCTGCACGTGGGATCTTCATTGAGGTACGTGGGATCTTTTGTTGTGGTGCACGGGCTCTTCATTGCGGCGCTGCGCTTCTCTCTAGTTGTGGCATGCGGGTTTTTCTTTCTCTAGTTGTGGCACGTGGGCTCCAGGGCGCATGGGCTCTGTAGTTTGTGGCACGCGGGGTCTCTTGGTGAGGTGCACAGGCTCAGTACTTGTGGTGCACGGGCTTAGTTGCCCTGTGGCATGTGGGATCTTAGTTCCCTGATCAGGGATCGAACCCGCATCCCCTGCGTTGGAAGGCGGATTCTTTACCACTGGACCACCAGGGAAGTCCCTCGGGTTCAAATTCCGACCACTGCTCACCAGTGGAGTGACTTCATCTCTCTGAGCCTCAGTCTCTTCGCTTGTGACAGTGGAGGGAGTGCAGAGCAGGCAGGAAGCCTCCTGGGGCCTGGCTGAGCATTCCCGAGACCACACAGAAGCCTTGGGAGCTGGCAGGGTTCCCATCACCCTATTTCACAGATGGGGAGATGGAGTCCTTGGGCATGACTTGCTAGAGGTCCCACAGCCAAATGGAGAGCTACTGTGGTCCAGATGCCCCCCAGGACCAGAGGAGCATGGGATGGTGTGTGCCCAGTGAGGTCATGGAGGAAGCCCTGTGACACTGACCGGTGACCTGGAAGAAGCCCTGGCCTCTATGGCCAACAGATGCCCAGAGTGGGGGAGGGTCCGTTGTGCTGGCTCTGCCTCCACTCAGACTCACTGGGCCCTCCCAGAACACGCCTAGAAAGGAGGGGGTGTTGGTGTTGGTGTTGGTGGCAGTGTCCCTGGGAGGAGGACAGGCTCCTGCCAGTTTTGGATGGGGCTGGGGTCTGTGAGCCTCAGGCAGGCAGGGACTGGCCAGGCTTGAAGGAGGGGGCGCTCAGCAGTACAGAGGACTGACCTGCCAGGAAGGGAGGGATGGAGTAGGTGGGCAGGAGAGGGGGCTGGACAGAGCAGGACTGCACCTCTAAGGGGCTCCCCCAGCTCTCACCCCTGCTTCCAAGGTGAAAAAAGAGCATGTGAAAAAGAGCAATGAAGCTGAGGATTGGGAGGCACCCCCTCTCTTCCCCCCAGCAGCCTCCAGTAGAGCCAGCAGTGTCACTGCCATGGCAACCGCAGCCCCTCCAGCTTCCCTTTCTCCTTTAGCCCCATCCTGCTTGGATGCCCCTATGGCCTGTGTGTGTCTTCCTAGCCCAGGGAAAGAGGCTGGGGGTAGGGGAGGCCTCCTTTCTCAGCCCCCGTTATGGCCCAGGGGCTGGATCCCAGGACCACCCCTGCCTCAGGATCAGGTGGAAGATTCTTTAAGTGTGCGAGAGGGAAGGGTGTAGTAGCTTTTGCAATAATTATTCTGAATGAACAAGGCGGCTATCACCTCCCTAAGGTTTCAAACCCCCAACTCTCAAAGTCCCTATTCTCTCCCAGGACACAGAGGCTGCGACCCAGGAGCCCCTGGCAGAGTTGAGAAAACCAGCATTGGGGCAGGGGCCTTGAAGATCATCTGGTTCCCGTCTCCAAGCCTATAGGTGGGGAAGCTGAGGTCTGGAGAGGAGCAGGGACTTGCCCAAAGCACACAGAGGGTATGTGGCAAAGTCAGGCAGGGAACCAGGGTGGTCAGACCAGGGGGGTTTGGGGCAGGCAGTGAGGGCCAGGAGGTCTGTGTCCCACAGTGGGGGGCCAGGTTTGGGGAAGGCTCTGGGCCTGCCCTTGCCTGCTCCTCATTTAGTGCTTCAGTAAACCCCCTCCCAGCCTCAGTGCATAATGGACTGAGTGAGAGGGAGGAGGCCTGGCCCTGTTTAGGGAGGAACAAGGGACACCAAAAAGAGCAGAAAGGAGCTGGGGATCTGAAGAGGGGCACAGTCAGGAGAGCTAGGGACCCTAAAGGTCCCATTGAGTGCCCCTGAGCGAGAAGGGCTTGTGGCCCTAGACAACAGGCTTTGGCCCAAGCACCGCTCTTTCTAAGCTGTGGGTGCCTGGGCAAATCACCCAGATTCCCAGTGTCTCACTCACCCTCACCTCACTCTCCTGCTGCCCCTGCCCCATGTAAAATGGGGTCAGCCACACAGGCTGGGGGGAGATTCTCCGTGATGGAGCAAACAAACAGAAAGGATGATTCCTGGCTCCACTTAGGAGATCAGTGGATGGGCCCTGTGAGGCTCTGAGCTCGAAACCCTTATGTCTGCTGGGCCAGGGCTACTGCCACGGTCACCTGGAGCATCTATTATGTGCAGAGCCTGAGGGGCTGGGACAGGAGGAAGCTGTGGGCACAGGACCCCAAGATGTAGAACAGAGAGGGGTCCATCTAGGCAGGAGCCTCTGGGGTTTGGAAGAGGGACTCTGCAGCCTTCCTGGGAGAGGAGGGATGCTGCTGGGGCTCAAACGCAGGTCGTGTAAGGTCAGGGAGAGGTGGGAGGGGCTGAGCGGGCACAAGCTGGCATTTGCTCCCTATGACTCCCTGGCACCGGACCCCAGCTGATCAGGGCCTCCCTGAGCTGTCACTGCACCCCCAAAGCCCCAGGGGCCTGGCCCACAGTGGGTTTCCTCACCTTCCAGCACACAGTCCTAAATCCAGGGCCTGGGCAGGAAAGGGGCATCCTGCTAGGGCCGGGAGCCAGGAGCTGTGCATCAGCTGTTGCCAGTGCTCGCCACACCCGCAGAGTGGCTTCTCTTGTTAATCCCATGTTGCTGATGAGGAAACAGAGGCCCAGAAAGGTAAAGTGTCTTGCCCAGGGTCACCCAGCTCTTTCTCCTCTGTCAAGGCCACTCCTGGAAGCTCTTCTGGGCTTGGATGCTGCCTGAGACGCACACTGGTGACAGCTTGGGAGAAGGAGGGCCACGGCCTACTTGAGGAGCGCGCGTCTGAGAGAGTGTGCTGTGGCATCCACAGCAGGTGGGAACCCCGTACAGCATTGCCAGTCCTTCCTTTCTGTGTCCCCCTACACCTGTTCATTAGTTGGTCGTCACATTCTCAGGCCTCACAGTCTGTCCACTGGTAAAGGTTGGAGGGCATGACCTAGATGCTGCCTTGACACTTAGCAGCTGGGTGACCTTGAGCAAACGCTCTGTCCTCCTGTGGCTCTGTGACCTCCCTTTGAGATGGGGACGAGGGCACCACCTACTACACTAGGGGTTGTGGGGAGGCTCCAGGGACCCTTCCTTGCCAAGTGCTTACGGGGCCTGGCCCACGGTCTCTGTTCCTCGTTTTTGTTTTGTTTTGCCACACCACGCGGCACGTGGGATCTTAGTTCCCCAACCAGGGATTGAAGGCGCACCCCTGCAGTGGGAGCGTGGAGTCTTAACCACTGGACCGCCAGGGAAGTCCCTCTCTGTCCCATTTGATAGCCCCTCTGGGACAAGGCTTGAATCAGCCAGAAGGCCAGGCAAGTGATAAAGGGATCCCTCCGTGACCCCCAAATTCCCCTGGAAACACGTAGGCTGCCCACCCCCAAGGCACCCCGCCCAGAGCGGGATGGGAGAGTAGGGATGGCTCCCCCTGACGCCCTCTTCACCATCCGCGGGGATGACGAGGATGGGGCCAGGAGAGGGCGGGCTGAGGACAGCTGTTGAGTGGTGGCGGTGAGGGGCATGTGGGGGACCCCGGCCACCCCTAACAACCGGGTCCCAGCACAGGGAGCCCGCAGGTGAGAGACCCAGGGTCCTCGCTCTGTCTCAGAGCTGGCCCGCCTGCCTGGCACGAGCCCTCCAAGCACTGGTTTTAATCTATCTTTTTTTGCAAGCAGCTCCTGGAGGTGCGGGGGCGGTTTCCCCTTGACTCGAGTCTCTAGGAGGATGCGGCTTGGCTAAAAATAACTCGAATTACTGTGCTCCCCCCCCCCCCCGAGGCCGGAGGAGGGGCCTGGGGGGGCGGGGGGGGCTGTGGGGGCGGGAGCCCGGAGGGAATGTTGCAGCAGCAGTGGGGAGGGGGTTCCCTGAAAGGAGCTGGAGAAACGCGGATATTGGCAGGTGGAAAGGGGTGCAGGACATGCAAGGGAACGGCCCTTTCTCACCCACTTCTCTCCAGGGAGGCCAGTGCTTCTGGAGCAGAGCTGGGGGTGAAGGCTGGCCCTGATCCCTGGCCCCACACCATGGAGGGGGCCAGCCTTGCTGGGTGGTAGCAGTGGGCTCCTTCCAGCAGGAAGTCTGTGTTTGGAGGAGACCACCCCGCTTCAGCTCAGCCCTGTTGAATGCAAGCAGTGACAGCAGGGGGCGCAGATCTGGGCTCCTGGTCCCCAGCTCTCCTTCCCTGCGGCCTGACACTGAGCCCCAAATCCTCATCCAAAAACGGTGCGACTGCAAAATTAAGCACCTGACTCCTGGGCACTCCAAGGCCTCCTCTCCCAGCCCCACCTGCGCCTTCTGTCTGGAGAGGCAGCATTAGGCTCCCTGTCACACCCTTGGTATAGGGCTGAGAGCCCATCGTGTGACCACCCCTCAGAGCAGGGTGGAGGCTGTGTCAGGGTCCGGGAGGCCCTAAGCCAGGCAGGATCTGGGGTCCTCCGCACAAAGGGGGGCTGGTCAAGGAGGGTGGGGACTCCAGGTGCCCATGGGATGGGGGAGGTAACGGTGGGGCCCAGACAGGAGGCTGGGGACAGGCTGCACAATGGGCTGCTGGCCCTGGTGGCCTTCTGGTGCTGCCCTCTCTGCCATCCCCAGCTTCACACCACAGGGCTGAGACAGTGCAAGAAGGAGCACAAGAGGCTCAGTGGCAGGGCATGGATCATGTGGTGGAGAGGGGACAGCATGGCTGCCCTTTGCACACACACAGACCCTGCAGAGGCAGTGGGAAATGCACTGGAGGGGGGCCAATCAGCCCTGCAGCAGGGAATGGGCTGGGACATACAGGTCCCTGGGTAGGGGCCCTCCATGCGCCATGCCTCAGCTTCCTCATCCTTAGGGGTGGCCATGGGATGCCTTGGAAAGCGCCTTAGATGGAGAGCAAAAGAAGCTGAAGCAGGAGTAGGGAAAAGGGCAACGGCAACGAAGTCAGCTACCCCTGCCCGCCACTGAGCACTCATGGGGCTCCCTGTGAGGGCGGTCCTAAGATTACCCCCACTTTACACATGAGGAAACTGAGGCTCAGAAAGAAGAATTGACTCATCCAAGGTTGTAGACCTTGTGCAAGATGAACTGGGCCTTTGAACCCAGGACCATCCGACTACACAGTCTGTTTCTCCATTTCATCTTGAACATGGAGCCAGATGTACTTATGAGGTTGACTCAAGGTGGGGTGCACAGGTATTCATCCAGATATGAGATACACAGAGTCGCTTCAGCTGGACCCCTACCCAGACCTACCAATCCCCTGCCCCTCCAGGGTTGGCTCAGGTCACAGGGAGCCTCGTTCTGGGGCACCAGTGTGCCTGGGAAGTACCTGTGTGTGCAGGGGGGTCGGGGAGAAGAGGGAGTGTGTACTCTGCCGGGATGGGAACAAGACAAGTGATAACAATAATGATAATAAAATCCCCCCAAAATAATGATGTTTTTAGCAGCACTGTTCCTGAGGAGAAACTAAGAGCAACACAAACATCCAGTAAGAGGAGAATTGAGAAATCAACCACAGCTCCCACAGCAGCAGGGGTGAGTCCTAAACCATAACGTAGAATGAAGAACACAAATTGCAAGAAACTACGTTCAGTTCAAAGCCATTTCTATAAAGTCCCCCACCAGAGTAAAACTACACAATACTGTTTTAGGCATTCATATGTGGATGATAAAGCTCTTACAAAAGAGCAGAAGTGATAAACCAAGATTCTTGGTACACTGGGGGAGGCAGGAGTTGGGTAGGGGTGGCACACACAGGGAGATTCCACCAGTGAACGTCTGTTACTGGCCCACGGGGTGCCAGGCGCTATTTGTGGTGCTGGGGGCGGGGCATGCGGGTACAAGCAAGACAGACGTGAACCCCAGGCCTCATGGCCCTTACAGTCTCACGAGACACACTTCCTTCCTGTTCTTGTGCTGTGGAATAGGTCACCAGTGTCCATTATGTTATTATGTATTGTCACAGATATTCCTTTACATTAATCAAATACTGTATTTAAAGAGATAAATAAGGAATAAACACAAATGTAATTGACCTCCCCCTTAAAAAAATCCCACCCAAGTTGGTGAGCTCTGGAGGCTGAACTCCTCTCCCTGCCTCCTCTCATTGATACTCCATCACATTGATCCAGGAGTCCCAATCCCTGGACCCCATCCCCCCTCCAATCTCCAGTCGCAGCTGAATGTCCCACAAGGTTATTCCCTCAGGCAAAGGTAAAAATGGCTTGGAGTGCAAGATTGGTAGACAGGGCAGGGTACTCAACCTCTGGGAGAGCCAGAGCCAGTTGGGGAGATAAAATGCAATGGAGGGAGGTGCAGAGCCTGGGAAAGATCCCTCCTCTTTCTGGCCCAGGGCTCTTGCACAACATTAGTAGAGGTGGAGGGTGCAGTAGGTGGGAAGTAACAGGCCTGCTCTGTCTCAAGCTCTTCATCTTCACCTGGGGGGCTCCATCTGCCATCCGTCTGTCCATCCATCCAGCCAACTATACACCGTATAATGGACATAGGTGACCTACCACACAACACAAGACCAGGAACAAAATGTGCCTTGTGAGACTGTAAGCTGCATGAGGCCTGGGGTTCATGTCTGTCTGGCTTGGCTTGTGCCTACATCCCTGCCCCCCATCCCAGCTCCCCTGCACAGCCCTCTTGGGGCAGGGCCAGTCTAGCCACCCTCACCCGATGGCCTGGTACATGGTAGATACTTGCTGAGGGGTACCCGGCCTCACCGTCACTGCTTTCAGCAAAAGCAGAAAAGGATGCACCTCCAGGCCCTCACATGTGCTGTTCCCTCTGCCTGGAACAGTGCACCCTCCAACCTGGCTCAGCCTAAAGGTCATCACCTCTGGGAGGCCTTCCAGGACCACCCCAGCCAGGCCAAGCCCCTCTCTCCACACCTCCCCCAACACCACAATCTGTATCATGGTCATGCTTTGTCTAGGTCCATCTCTCCTTCTGAGTGGGGGGACTCCAAGGTCAGGCCCAGGTCCTCCAGCATCTGGGCTGGGCCAGGGCCCACAGGAGGCTCTCAGCTTCATCTTCTCGGCCATTCTTACACCTGAATACAGTTTGGCATTTTTTCCCTGGAGGAGCCAGGCCCAAGGGGGAGGCCAGCCACTTCAACAGCCCCCGCATCTCTTGGACTCCCACTTTCTAGGTCTTTGCCCCTCCCCCAGCAGTCCGCCCGTCTTCCACCCTGAGGGCTACCGGGGCTCCACACATCCATCTCTTCTCTTCTAGAGCTGCCCTCAGCAGGAGAGATAGTGGTGGGAAGTGTCCAGGGCTGGGAAAATGGGGCTACAGGAGATCCCTGGGAGAACCCTCCCCCCCAGCTCTCTATGTCCACAGCCTGTGAGGGATGCAGGGTGGGGGATGGGAGAGATGGCAGTGGCTGGTCATCAGTCCAAATCCAGGTCACTCCCAGCCTGCTTAGCAGCCGTCGATAATTAGGGGCCAGCAGGACGTGGGCAGGTGGGTGGCAGGAGACCTAATTGTCTGACTTTTCAGGTAATTAACGGGAGGCTGTCTGGTCTATCCCCGCGGGGCCCAGCATCCGCCACCCCATCCCCTGGGCAGCCCCAGCCGCCTAATGAGGCCAATTATTGAGTGGTGCCCGGGCCCTCATTAGTCACCTGGAAGGGTCATGTGGGAATGGCACCGGGGGTGGGGCTCAGCCAGCCATGGTGGAGGCTGGGAGCCCCCAGCGATTGGGATGCAGGATGTGCTGCCTGTAGGTCTCTGCAGCTGCACACTGAAGGTAGCCCACCCACACTTGGGACCTCACTTCTTGCCTCTGCTCTCAGGGCAGCAGCTTTAGGTCAAATCCTCTCCCTGCCATTTCCCAGCTGTGTGGCCGTGGGAGTGTCACTCCCCCTCTCCTACCCTCTGTTTCCTGAATCAGAGATGATGGATGTAAAATGCCTGGGGCACAGTGGGTTCCCAGTGCACAGGTGCTCACCTTCTCCCCACGGGGCCAACTCCTTTCCTTCACTCTTGAGGAAATGTTGGCCCAGAGTGGGTAGGGCCTAAGGTCACTGGTGTGTCCGAAGCCCACTCTGCAGGGCCTGGGCACCAGGGAGGGCAGCAGGGATGCTGAGGGATGGCCCTCTGGGATTCGCCCAAGGGACCTCAACAGCAGGGCAGGGGAGTCCTGGGAGGAGTCATAGAGGCGATCTGGCCAAGGAGAGGGGGCACCCAAGAGCAGCTGGACTTTCCGGACACCTGAGCAGAGTGGCGATGGGGAAGCAGGAAATCTCTAGGAAATGCGGGGCTTTGGAGATCATGATGGAGCCGGAGGCCCTCCACTCCCTGAATGCTCCAGGACACTCAGGAAAAGCCCACAGGCATGTGACGGTGCCACAGCCTGCTGTCCAAGGCAGGGATCCATTCTTTCTTGGTTGGTCCACACCAATCTTGGCCCAGGAGATCACTGTGCCTTCAGATGTTGAGTGTTTTTGGCTTCTGTGGCTTCTTTGTTTTAAGAATTCTGTGACCTAATTCCATGCTGACAAATTCCATGCTGTTCTGGCTCCTATAATCGTCAGCTAATGCTACTTTTGGTCCTCCTGCCAGCCCAGAATCTTGGTCAAGGGTTTCCAAACTGTGTCCCCCAGGAGCCCTAGGGTGGGAGCAGAAGGGGGGGGGCTACTGACCCTCCAGTTGGAACAGCTGGACTTTGATCTTTTTTTTTTTTTTTTTTTTGTGGTACGCGGGCCCCTCACTGCTGTGGCCTCTCCCATTGCAGAGCACAGGCTCCGGACACGCAGGCTCAGCGGCCATGGCTCACGGGCCCAGCTGCTCCGCAGCATGTGGGATCTTCCTGGACCGGGGCACGAACCCATGTCCCCTGCATCGGCAGGCGGACTCTCAACCACTGTGCCACTAGGGAAGCCCTGGACTTTGATCTTTGATAAAATATTAATAGCTGCTCCTTCATGAGCTCTTGCCGTGTACCAGGCATGCACCAGGCCTCTGCCTCAGCAATTGCATTTGTCCTCAAAAAATCCCACGAGGAAAGTAGCATCACATCCCCATTTTACAGATCAGGCTGCTGACACTGTTGGAGGCTGAGGCTAAGCGGCATTCTCCAGGGCTCACAGCCTGTGGGAAGGAGAGCCGGGACTTGGACCCAGTTTCCACTCTGAGCTGCTGTGAATATGGGTTCTGTGGCTAAGAAGAAAACTAGGTGCCGGAGTTTGAGGGGAGTGTCCCATTTATCATAATTTGTTTCCTCCAGAGCTGAGTGTGTGGGTGCGCCTGCCTCTCTGCCCCAGAAGAGCGTGGCCTCAGCCCCAGGTCGCCCAGGGCCTCTACGCCCCACCACGTGGTGTCTGTGTGCACGAGGGCCCATCTGCCCATCTGTTTCCCTTCCCTCTGCTGTGGGCTCTGCTTCCCCGTGGTCCAAACAACAAGATCCAGCCCAGAAACAGCATATGTTTCCAGCCTCTGCTAGTCCAAGTCATAAATCGCCTGGTGTGATGTGCTCCTTGTGTCAGCTTGTTTCAAAACTCAGGGTGGAGGTGGCTGAATGAGTGTGAGGAGAATGCAGGGCCTCCTCCAGGCTGAGAAGCTGAGAGCTGGGAGCCGGGGTGAGTCCAGGACTGAGGCTCAGGAAGGGAGACAGGGACTAGGCCTGGAGCTGGCTTGGGGGCTCAGCCTGGGGCGGGAACCAGCAGGTAGTGGCCTGGATTCAAGCTGGGCCTAAGGGCTGAGACTTAAATGGGAGCTGAGGTCAGAGATCAAAGGGTTGGGCTTCTTGTCCAATGGTCAGAGGTCCAGACTTGACTTGGAGTCAGGGGTCAGAGGGCAGGGGCTATTGCTCAGAACTTGATGGGGATGGAGAGCTAAGCTCAGTTTGGGGTGAAGGTCAGGCCTCAGGCTGAGGTAGGGTTAGAGGTTAGAGGTCAGAATCAGTCCAGTGCTGAAGGCCATAGCTAACTGAGAAGGAGGTCCCCAAAGACTCAGAAGTCTGCCTGCTCTATCCTGGAAGTGACGTGTGCCAGGACCGGTGACAGAGGGATGCCTGTGATAAATAAGACGGGGCTTCCAGGGATTGACCATGAGTTTGAAAAGGACTGGGCACAGATCTTACGTCCAAAGCCACTAGAGCAAGGCTGGGGGCCTGGCCTCCAGTCCCAGCTCCCTGTCCTCAGGATGGGAGCCTTGGTTGCTTATCTCTGAAGCGTGGATGGCCACAGCGCCTGCCTCCATGTTGATCACGCTCCATCCATGTTGCTGATTTCTACCCTCAAGACTGTGTGCCCTGGAGTGGGGGTAGATGAGTGAACACAGTGAGGGTGAGTGGTCGAGGCAGGTATGTGAGATGCTTCTGTGGCATGGGGGGCGGGGGGTCTCAGGAGAGGAACTGTGCCAAGGCCTTAGGTCCCCAGTCACCACCCAGGGCTCTGTCACTCCCAGGCTGCCCCAGAGAGGTGACCCTGCAGCCAGTTCAGGCCTCAGCTGCCCCCCCGAGCCGTGTGTGAGCAGCACCGTCCCGGGCGTTTTTTCCAGGCCTCCGTTCTGCCAGCTAGGTTTTCCCACCTCTTCTCCGTTCTGGGCCCAGCATGGCCAGAGATCTGGGGACAAGCCCACACAGCCGCCAGTTGGGGAGCTAGGATGGAGGAGGCAAAAGCAGGAGTGAGAGGCCAGCAGGCAGAGAAGGGTGCCAAGGAGGAAGCCTTATCACAGGCCTCTCTGTTCTCATCTCCCGCAAGGCCTGGTCACGAACCAGCCTCAGCTGTTGACCCGCCGCTGGGGTCCTGACCCCAGAGGTCTCCCCCTCCCCACAGGGGAGCACAGGGAGATTCAACAAGGGGGGAACCAGGCATGTGTGAGGGTGTGGGGGCTGGAGGGAGGTGAGAGAACCCCTGGGGGACAGGAATGGTGGAGAGCCAGCAGAGGACATGTGGACAACAAGAGGGCTGCCCTGCCTGCCCAGGATGCAAGGCCTCCAGGGTTTGGCTATGAAAGTCCCAGTCACCTCCTCCAGCTGAGCTATTAATACCCAGCTAAGACCCACGCACCCTTGCTGGGAGGACGCCGAGTTCCTTGGGGGCTAAAAACGGTCTGCGGTGGGGGTGGGCCCGGTGTCCTCCCTCTCTGCTTGTCAGAGGAGCTGGGGCCAAAGTCCATGCTGGCCTGGAAGGGGGCCAGAGCCAGGGTCGGGGTACAGAGGGTGACTGAACCCTGGGGTGGCCTGAGGATTCCAGGCAGAAGCAGGAAGGCACTCAGCCAGTCCAGTCCCCGTTGCTCAGAGACCTGAGGGTGGCCCGGGGGCCTGCCAGTGGTCCCACCCAGGAGACCCGCCTGGCTTTCTGGCTCCTTGCCCCACCTAGGCCTTCGCCTTCCCCCCAGGCCTCAGCTTGGTCTGCCCCAGGCTGCAGTGGGGCTAGCTGCTGAGGGCTGCCTGCCTGTCTTCTGCCCAGAGGGGCCTAGAAGGGAAAGGGAGCTCCAGGGAGGGGACAGGTTTGGAGCCTCTAGTGGAATCCGGGCCACCTAAAGCAGAGCCATTCACGTTCATTCACTGAGCTTCATGTGTGAAATTTCGATTATTCATAGCATTCTCTCAGGAGGGAGTTACTGGCAGCACCATTTTATAGGTGAAGAAACTGAGGCTCGGTCATCTCCTCAGAGCCTGAGCTGGCTAGACCTGGTTTGTCAGACTCCAGACCCTACCTTGTGTTGCCTCCCGTTATGTCATTGCAAAAGGAGATTTCTTGGTTTGTCCTGGGGATCCATGAAACAGGTGTTTCCATCAAAAGGCCCTGATCACTGTAGTGTCCCAGGCCCACCAGAGTGGCCACACCAAGAATGAGAGGCCTGCATGGGCACCTTTCTCCTGCATTGGTGAACCCCCCTCACGGGGATCGTCAGCCACTTCTTCCCTCATTCCTGGGGCTCAAGGACACATCCTGGGAGCCTGTGCTAGTCTTCTGGGCTCGAGGTCACCCAAGGCCACCTGCTCCATGCTGTGTCCCCTCCCTTCCCATGATAGATGCTCCAGGATCCAGACACCGACCCCAGAAGAGCACAGACTTGGCCAGGAGAGTCCAGACGAGAAAGTGGTTGAGAGGTGTCAGCCCCGGAGGCCCCCTGAGCCGGAAATCCCGACAGCTGCCTGGCTTATGGGTCCTGGGCACTGGGCCCTGACCCAGGGCAGGCAGCAGCCGTGTCAGGTGTCCAAAGGAGTTGGGGGAGGTTATGGCTGGAGCCAAGCCTGTCTGCCTGTGGTTAGTGAGGCTGTTGACACCTCCTGGGCTGCCAAGGCAGAGCGGCACCAAGGGGCTGGGGGAGGGGTCCTCGCTTAGCCTGGAGGGTCTGAGGGGAGAGACAGGCCCTGACTTGAGGGTCTGGGGAAGGAAGCACAGTCCTGTCCTAAGCTGAGAGAGACCTGGCCCTGCCTGAGAAATCTGAGGAGGGGGACAGACCCCTAGCTTTGGGGGCTGGTAGAGGGGGTATATTTCCAAATGGCCAGTGGGGAGTAAGGTGTGGGGGGTTGTCCCAGCCTGACACCAGGACAGCAGGGAAGGCTGCCCGTATCCTGGGTTCAGGAGGAAGCTCTGAATCTGCCGGCCTCCATTCCTGGCTGGGAGGCACGTGCCTCTGCAGGACAAGCAGGAGGCCTCTGGCCTCAGGCTGACCATACAAACAGCCCCAGGGTTTCACTTCCCCGGGAGAAAAGGAGAGGCCTAACCTTGCCTGGATTTTCCTTAACCCCCCGGAGAGGGTCTTTGCCTCTGCGCTGGTGGTGATGGGGGACAGACTAGCGTCAGAGAGCCCGTTCCAGGGGAGCCCTGCCAGGATGGGCCCCCCTGCTCATTTGATCCATGCACCTCAGCTCTCCTGATGCCCATGTGCCCCCCCGCCGGAGCCACCTCCCCAAGAAGTCTTCCTGGATTGATAGAGGTGAGGAGGCACTATACTTCCAACTCCCACGCCAGGCTGGAGTGTCAATGGCTACCCCATCTTCTTGGGGCCCCTGCCAGCCAAGCCTGACCTCATGAGGCTTTCCTTTTCTTTCACTTTCCTTTCAACACACCCTCCCTCCTGGCTCCCTCCTAGACCTCCAGGCCTCTGGTTCTCTGGCTGAACCAGCCCCTTGGCCACACCAGGTCTGGGGTCCTCTCCCATCTCAGCTGTCCCTGCTGCTCAGTCTGGGGCTCAGTCCCCTGCCCTGTGTCTGTCTCTTCTCTCTGGGTTTATCTTTGTTCTCTGGGCTCTGACTCAGACCTGACTCTGTCTCTCTGTTTTAGTCTCCATCTCTGCCTCTCTCTTTATATCTGTCTGGCTCCCTGACCCAGTCTCAAATGCCTCAGTCTTTCTGTCACTGTTGCTCTAGGACCCGGTCCTGGCAGTGTCTCCTCTCCCCACCTGGCCGGGGCATCTGCTCAGACATCTGCTCTGCTGTCTGCTCGCTGGGCCCCACGAAGAGCTCAGACAACACTTGTGGTCTCAACTCTGGCCCAGTTCCAGGGGAACTGCTGTGATTCCCAGAAGGTGGGTGAGGGAGAGACAGGCCAGAGGGCCATGTGCTTGCCTGTCTCTTGAGGGGCTAATGGCCCTGGGCTTTCCTCTGCTCAGGCCACGGCTACCAGTGCCACAGGCTTCACATTTTACCCCACCACTGACGGCTGTGGGACTCCGGGCAGGTTCTGAGCTCGTGTCCCCTTCTCCATAGTGGGGCCAATAGGGCCGACTTCAGCAGGTGTCAGAGGATGGAATGTCAGCGCACTTGGCGGGCACTTGGCACTGGGCCCAGCATGTAGTAGTGCTCCATAGAGTCCCCATGACTGTTACTGTGACTGTAATTCCCCAAGGTCCCCGGAGTCATGATAGGCAGAGTGGGGGATGGGCTGAGCTTCTGCTGTTTGAGGTGTCCCATGTCCACCTGCGTCCCATACCCGTCTCTTCCTCTGTTGGACAAAAGACCTCTCGCTATACCTGGGACCTTCCTGTCCTCAGATTCTGTCTGAATTGCACACTGGTGCTCACCAAATTAATTACTGCTGGCTTGGGGATATATTTTTTTAAGAAGACATTTTTCCAGGGGGAAAAACACGCAGGAGCTATAATTAGTTGGGAAGAGGAAAGAGGTGCGGAGCGTGTGAATCATCAGCCCCAGTGATAGACGGTTAGAGGCTGAGCAGAAGTTTCGGGAGAAGCTGCTGGAGTGTGGGTGAGTTGGGGATGGGGTGCTGCCCCCAGGCAGGCCGGGGTTGTCAAACACCAGGCATGTTCAGGGATGGGGACTTTATCTGTCACCCTGAAGTCTATGCCCTCCCCCACAAGGCTCTGTCACCCATCACCCTCTTAAGGTCCCAGCTTCTCAGCTCCCCTGCACGTCCTGCCTGCCCTGACTGTCCCTAGGGCTTTTGTCCACCTTATCCCAAGGCTAGTGCCAGTCCCTGCTGGCATGTACCTGGGCAGAGAGCCTTGCAGCTTGAATGAGGAGAGAAACTGTGGAGGGTTTGAGATGCAGGGATTGTAGACCATCTAGACCAGCTTCTCATTCATTCACTCACGTGTTCATCGAATACTGAAATGCTGCTGTGTGCCTGGTCCACAGACAGGCAAGCCGAGGACCAGAGAAGTGCCACTCCAAGGCCACACAGCTGTGAGTGGAGCAGCCTCTCTGCCTGTCCTGTCATACCAACTCTGCTGAGCCAGACCCTGGGCAGGGCTCTGGGCCACCAAGGGGACAACGACCAGGCCCCACCCTAACTGAGGCCATATTCTGATGGGGGAGGCAATCAGGCACCTATAGGGCAGAACGCCCAGTGCTGTGAAGTGGGAAGCACAGCGCTGTGGGAGCTCGGAAGTGGATCTTGATCCAGCCTGGTGGTCAGACAGGGCCTCACAGGGGATGAGGTGAACAGTGTTCTGAGGCTGGAAACAGCATGATGACCCATCATGCTGGAGGGATGTTAAGTGATTCTGTGGCAGGGCTCAGGCAGCAGCAGGAGTGGGGGATTGCTGGGGACTGTGGCTTCTGGGCCAAGTGATCACAGTGTCCATTTCCCCAGTGTTTCTTCTGAGCAGCTGTCTGGGGCGCTCTGAGGCCCTCATCCTTGGGGACTCTCCGTTGGTTCTTTTTGACGTCTGGGGCCCACTGACCCAAGGTAACCCCTGTCTGGGCAGTCAGTGGCTAAGGGGACTGGACCCCAGGTTTCTCCCTCTCTCCCTCTCCTCTGGCTGAGGGCTGGCTACCCAATGGTCTAGGGGTCTCTGCCCAGGCCTCAGGGGCTATGCGGGAGCAGCGTGGCCTGTGCCTGAGAGCTGAGGAGAGGACACTTCCTCCCCTGGGAGAGCATGGCATCATTCAGCACACAGAGTGCTCCCTTCTAACCCCAGACCAAATTAGCCTTCCAAATTACAGGCTGCATGTCCTCCAAATTGGGGATTGGGTGGGAGAACAGAGGCCCAGCTCTCCTTCCTGCTTCCTGCTCACAGAGGGCTCTCGGCCCATCCCTAAATAACAGGACCATGTTAGGAAGGAATTCTGGGCACACACCCCCTCCCGCCCCAGGGTGCAGGGATCCCCAGGTCCCAGACCTGCATTCAGGCTCAGGGCAAGGCTTTGCCCTCCTGGGGTTTGACAGTGAGCTTGGAACCGGAACATTCAGTCAAGGCCAGCTTAGGGTTCTGAGGGCATTTTGAGGATCATTCATTTATTCATCAAACACCTACTGGGCACATTCTCTGTGCCAGGCATTGTGCTGGGCCTTGAGACACTGAGTGGCAATGGAGGTGACAGACATGTGACCAGGAAGGTACATGTCAGAATGAGCAGGCCTGTGGCAGGGGGTGTACAAGTGGGGTGTACAAGTGGCCCTGGGAACCCTTGATGAGGTCAGGGAGACCTTCCTGGAGGAAGGGGTATATAAGATGAGTCCCAAAGGATGCATGTGTCCTTAACCAGGAGAAGAGAGTTCATGGAGGAAAGAATATCCAGTGCAAAGGCCAGGAGCAGAGAGTGAGGGAGGGGTATTAAGAAGTGGGTGGAGGCACTGGTTGGTTCAGATCCAGGGGCCTTGTCAGCTATGCTGGGGGATTGGATTTCATCAGAAGTACAAGGGAAGAGGAGGCCTGTGATTCCAGGAGTGGAGGAGGATGGGTGTGTGTGTGTGTGTGTGCAGAAGCACAGTTGGACCATGGCCCCACCCCGAGGGCTCCTGGTAGGTATGAAGGGATGTGGGGGCAGAGGAGGGGGTCCTGGACCTCCCACATTGGCCTCCCTCCCACCCCCACCCCTTCCAGACAGCTTCGGGCCTTTGAAGAAACAATCCAGTTTACCACAAGGAAAACACGAGAGCCTGATGGTATTTCTTTGTGTCCTGAAATTAAGGTGCCTTCCTGTGTTTTCGCTAATTGGTTTGGAACTCTTCATGTTTTTGTTTTAGAAGAAAATTATTATGGATGTTGAGAATAAATGCGATCATTGTGTGGTGCTGGAGCAGAGAATGAAAGGAAAACACCTCCTGAGCTCACCCACTCTTGTGTCACAGAAGAGGCAAGTGAGGTGGGGAGGAGAGACTTTGAGGCCACACAGCCACAGTGATGGTCCCCCAGGAGCAGGAAGGGGTGGCTTTTGGGGCACGGTGGAGAGAGGATGCTTGGTGGGGGGTTCTTACAGCAGGGTGGAGAGAGGACCTGCGAGTTCCTCCAGCTTCTGGTCTTGCTTGCACACCTCCTGGGATGGAGAAATCACTGCTTCCTGTCTGCGTCTGGTGAACTGGCCCAGCTGTAGCTGGTGAGCAGTTTTCCCTGAGTAGGCAGTGCTTCTCCCCTCCGGTCTCACCCAAGGTTCTCTGCATCCCAATCTCTACCCCACCAGGACCTCTGGTCTTCGCTTCAGCTGCCTGAGGTGAGGCTGGGGCCAGGGTGGTCTCTGTAGGTGGGACCCTGGGCTGCAGGCTGCACGGCACTGGATCTGATCTGGCCCCGGTAGATGGTGCCTGCACTTCTGAGCCTGATGGCTGGGAGGGCTTCCGGGCTGGAGCTTCCCCGGCTGGCAGCCAGCGTGGGAGCGTGAGGAAAGGCACGAAGTCTGCTTCCTGGATGCACGGCCTGTTGTCCAGCACATCCTGCAGGGCCCGGCCCTGCTCGGCTGAGGACACAAGCTAGTGGGTAGAGTCAGGCCTGACAGACAGTTCCATGGGCAGCACTGGGCAGACAGGTGGGGCACCAGGTCAGTGCACACCCTCACTCAGCAGGCTTCTGTTTAGCCCCTGCTATATGTCTGGCCCTGTGACAGCCGCTGGGCCCTCAGAAATGAATTAGACACAGACCCGCCCCTGCCCCCGAGAGCCTGTGGTCTGGACAGGCACAGAGGAGACAACAGAGCGCAATAAAAAACCTGTATCCCCGGCCATACCAGCAAAATCAGCTCCAGACTTTGGGGAGTGAAATCCTACATAACCCACTTCTACCCAGAAGCTAGAAAGGGACCTCTAGAATTCACCTCTGGCCTCCTGTTCCTTCTGCTTGACCTGCCATGCTCCCTTTTGCTGGCCCCCAGAGCGCCTGTGTACTCTGGTCCAACCTCTCCCTGGAGCTCAACTCCCTCCTCCACTCAGCTGCAGTGAACACTCAGAGTTTAATGGTCTCTCTGGCCATCTGGCCTTTGTCCAGGTTGTTCTCTCTGCCTGGAAAATGTCCCCTTCCTTTACACTTGCTAATGCCTACTCAGTCTTCAGAGTCAGCGTCCAGCCCTCTCCATGGGTAGCTTTCCTGGCTTCTAGATCATGACAGCCCCCTGGTACCTGTCCCTGTAGAGCCCCCTACACTGCTCCTCAGAGCATTCATGGAACTTGTGATCAGGTCTTTTAACTGTGTGCTTATTCCACTGGGGACGCAGGACCCAGAGCAGGCCAGGTTTCTCTTGGCCACTGCTGGCCTGTCGTCTCACCCCAGAGGAGCCCAGAGGATGTGCTTAGTCAATATATGTTGAATGATGAGTAACATGTAAAACCCACATGTTTTTCTATTAATAGAAAGTTAAGTTCAGGCACAAACATCACAAAAATCTAGTAAGATTTAAATGCATGTTCATACCCACACGCTGAGAATGTTGCAAAGAGGTTACACTGCCCCCTAAAATGTAATTACCCCCGTGCCTGACCCCAAAGTCACTGGCAGTGGCTGGTTCAGGGCAGCCCTGAAGTTAACAGCAATAGCAGTGACACTGGCCGTGTGTTGGGAGCCACCTCAGCACTAAATAAGCACAGATTTTTTTTTCAATGAAACATTATATTTGGATGCAAAAACCTAGAGTATCAAAGATTCATGTGGAGCCAAGATTCATTCATCAACAGACATTTCTTCAGAGCCAAGGGTTGGCTGAGCACTGAGGATCTGGTTGTGGACAGACGGCCTGCCTTTGCCGTATCGGCGTCAGGCTGAAGCCAGGAGGAAAAGCGGAATCAATGGACCTGACCTTTGGCCCTGGACCAAAGGGAAGGAAAGACATTTCCTCCTGCGGGATATACAATCTCTGAGCACATCTCTGTCAGCAAAGAGGCACAGCCTGACCCTGTCCTGCGGGGCCCTGGAGATTCCATTTTTTCTGGTGGGGGCCTGGGCCGGTCACACCCGCTCCCTGGGACAGTGTTGAAGCAGCTGTTAGAACTGGGATGCGCCAAAGAACCCTGCAGAGACAGGCTCACCACCTTCCCTGCTCATGCTACCTCTTCCACGGGATGCCACTCCACAGCCTGTGCATGGGATCCAGCCCGCAGCCAGTGTCTGCCAGCGGTCACATTAGGGTCACGTACAGGTCAAAGCAGCCCCTCTCTGCTGCCAGGTCATGGTTGGGGTGTCCCGCTGTGTATGTGCATGTCAGGTATGGGGCACGCAGGGGCTGGGGGTCTCTGGGAGAAAACGGTGAGCACCTTGTGAGAAGAGGGCCTTGCCTTCCCCTCAAAATCCCCAAGACCTGGCCTTTCTCCTGCTTTAGACCAGAGTGCCCAAGGGCCTTAACCAGACAGACAACCGGCAGTGAGACAGCCAGCCTCCCTGGGACCAGAGCCCCCATTCCACCTGGCAAGACTCTTGGGTCAGCGGCCTGGGATCTTCGGCCACCATGGTGCTGATGTGCTGAGGCCCAAGTCCTCACCCGGCTGTGCCCTGCCCAATATAGAGGGCTCTGAAGGACACAGACAGCTCTTCCTGTGTCAGGGCAGTGGGGCCATTTATCACGGAGATAAGCATTAGCCAGAGGGCAGAGTTGGCGGAAGGAGCTGTCTGGAGGAGATAATCTAGGGTCACTCAGAGGGCATGGAAGAGCCATGTCCCCACTCCACCCCCTGCCACCCAGACCCCACCCCTAGGCTTGCTGGCCAAGACATCTGGCTGTCTCACCTCATGGAAAAACCTGATGCCCTCCGGGGACAAGGAGCTGGGCTATGGTTGGGAGTGGGGTGTGTTTCCTCTTCATGTTCTGTGCCACGGCAGGGCCCCTGTGATTCTGCCTCGCCTCTTCACAGATGGGGAAACAGGCCTGAGAGAGTGGGCTTTGGACTGCTCTTGTCTGAGGGAGCGAACATGGGGTCCTGACCCTGCCCTCGGCCTCCTGCACAGGGTAGGAGGGGAAATCCACGTGGTGCTGTGTCACTGGGCACGTCCTATGTCCCAGGTGTTGCCTGCATGGCCTGTGTCCTGTCCCCTCTACCCTGGGGACCAGGCATTGCTTTGTCCTCCTTTTCCAGAGGGAGACAATGCCCAGAGAGGTGAGGGTACCAGCCCATGGCCGAACCGCTGGGAAGTGGCCCAAGTAGGATTTGAACGTGGGGTTCAGAGCTGCATCCAGAGCACTGTCTGCCCAGAGGGGCTTTGGGTGTCTGGCAGAGGCCAGAACAAACCCACTAGATGGAGGACAGCTCTGGGATCCCTCTGCCCAGCTAAAAGCTGATACCCCAGACTGTCAGAACCCCCCAGGCTGCTCTGCTCACCCCACTTCCCTACCTTGGCACTCAGTGGGGCTCAATAAATATTTCTTAACAAATTAATAAGTCAAAAATGAGCAAACACAGTATAAATCATGACATTTCCCCTCTACGAGTCCCTGGAGCTGGTCAGTCCCTCTCTGGGGGCTGTACACACTGGTTTTGGTATCTCCCTGCCAGGGACACATCTGCCCACCACCTACTGGCTCCTCACGGTGGTCCCATCAGAAAAGACGGTGCCACCTTTGGGAGCAGAGAGAAGAACCCAGACCTTGGACTGTAGAGGATGGGAGTAGGGGGAGGAAGGAGCGAGGAGACCCCTCTCCTGGGCTGGGAGCCGCACTTGTCATTACCCCATGGTGGACACTTTTGCAGCCCTGCAGCCCTCACCATCGGGGTCACTAAGTGTTGGTGTGTTCAGGGTGCTGCAGGGACCAGGGCTGGTCTGGGGGATGAACCCTGGATCTCCTTTCTCTGCCCCAATGTCCAGGGCACTAGATTTGACCCAGAACCAGCCAGAGGCTTTTCTGGAAAGTCTTTGCTATGTGAAGGGAAGGAGGGGGCACCCTGGGAGTCTTGGAATTCATCTGGCAGGCCTGGGGGCCTGGGTGGCTTTTGAGAGCCTTTCTGCCCATGACCACCTTCGTGGGTTCTGGGTACTATTTAGCCTGCGACATGCTGGGCAGGGAGAGGGGTCTGGATTGTGCAGGGAAGGGTCCCAGGGCCTGGGGAAGGAGCCAGTGAGCATGAACAGTTGTGCAGAAAGGAGCCCAGCCCCCGGGGCCTGTGTTGGGGGGTGGGGAGCAGGAGGACAGACAGGCACAGCTGTGTCAGACCCACCACTACAACCCCCTGGGAGCCCCCCCACAGCTGAAGGGACCCTTCCTTGGATTTGGTTGGGGGCATTGGAACCTCAGGTGTGGAAGGGTTTTTTTTTTTTTTGCGGTACGTTGGCCTCTCACTGTTGTGGCCTCTCTCGTTGCGGAGCACAGGCTCCGGACGCGCAGGCTCAGCGGCCATGGCTCATGGGCCCAGCCACTCCGTGGCATGTGGGATCCTCCCGGACCGGGGCACAAACCTGTGTCCCCTGCATCGGCAGGCGGACTCCCAACCACTGCGCCACCAGGGAAGCCCTGGAAGGGTTTTTAATCCTCGGACACTGGGTCATCTCATGTCAACCCAGGGGAAGTTACAGACAGACCTCCAATCCTCAGGAGATAAGCTGAACTGACTTGTGAACGGGCTGCCTCTGAACCAGTGCAGAGCAGCCCTGGGCAGCCTCCCCCAGAAAAGTCCCCACTCTGGTGGTTGGGAGGGGCATTGCCAGCAGCAGGACCCCACACTGAGCTGGTCCAGCCCCTCGGGGGACAGAACAGGCACACAACAATAATAGCAACCATAAAAGAAACCCAAGGAGCACAGCTCTTGCTGTGCCCCAGACAAGGCTGAGCTTGGCTTCCTGGCCACTCTCCCATTGCATTTAATTC